GAAGCAGAGATGGGTGTGGAGAGAAGATGTTGGGGTTGGTTTAGTCATTTGGTGATGGAGGTTCAGAAGTTGGTTTGTTCCCGCGGCATGAACTCTGGTTTTGAGGACAAGACAAGTTAGAGGAATTTGATTTCCTTTTAGGAGGAAAGAAAATCACCAAGTTGGAAAGTGGAAACTTGATCAAAACTATTTGCAGGGCAATTTGAGTGGAGGACCTGGAAAATGATGGTCAACAGAGACGATTTATTCTACCACCAATTAGTGGAGGATTGTGCTTATCAGTGCTTAGCTAGTTGATACCAGTTGACTTTGTGTTTTGTTTTGATCAAATGGGGGTTGTGGGGTTTCCATCTTCTTAAAGCCACAAATGTCCGCAGAAGATAAGGAAAGTTTTCGAATAAAACAAGGCAGGCTGAAAGCCAAACGTGACGTACGTGAAAGGCAAGACGGCATTGAAAGTTCCTTCCTGGAATGTCACGTGTGAACAGAGAACGCCATTGTTGAATGAAGACTTGATTTATTGCTTTTTAATTTTTAATGGGAGACTTTGATCCCATATTATTATTATTTTCAATCGAAACACTATGAAGTGTACGAAGAGTAACGGCAGCACGTCTGGTTTTCCACTGATACAGACTGGGGAGGGAGAAAAATGAAAAATAAAATTCCACAGGAAAGAAAAGTTGCAGAGGTGTGACGAAATGGCATTAATTCATGTGGGTGGGTTGTTGTCCTAACACACTCACATTTGTTTCTTCCACCAGTTCCAGAAGATGCACAAAATTTCAATTCATGTTATCAAATCAATGGACTGCTTTTAACTTTGGAGAAAAGTTGAGTCATGATATCAAATCAATGGGTTTTGGTGGAAATAGATTTGTAGTCTGTCAAATGTATGGACTGCATTATTTCTAGAAGCTGAGATAGTGAAAAGCAGTATGCATCCAGATGCAGTGTCACTTGTGAGCTTTTGAGTCAAAAACCAAGCGTCAAGGACCTTGCTGATAACTTAATAAAATCACAAAGTTCTTTAGATATTAATTAAGGGATAGGATTTCTCCACTTCCCTTTTCTCCACCTACACTCTATTTTGTTTTTTAATACTTTTTAATCAATTTTGTTCATTTTCTTTTCTATTCTACCCTTACCCTACATTAATTTCTTTTTATTTCACTTTTATATTAGTTCTTTTTCTTTATACTTAATTTTCCAACTTGCACTCTATTTTCAGTAATATTTTTTTCCTTTAATCGAGTAAGAAATTGAGTTTTTTTTTCTCCTTTGATACTGAAAAGTTCTTTTTTGACAGTGCAAGCAAACTTGGTGAAGATGGACTTTGATCAGTTTTATCGTTATTACTCTGTCTCCTCAATTGGCAAGCCACATGCGGAAAACGGTGATAAAATTATAATGCCGCCGTCGGCTCTCCATCGCCTTGTTTGGGGTCCACAGGTGGCCTACCTTATGCTGTTTCAACTCAACAATCCCAATTCTGAATCTGGACGAGTTACTCATTGCGGGGTCTTGGAATTTGTTGCTGATGAGGGCTTTGTATTTTTACCATCTTGGATGATGCACAACCTGTTTTTACAAGAGGGCAACCTTGTTCACGTCAAAAGCCAAAGCCTTGGGAAGGGAACATATGTCAAACTGCAACCTCACACCAAGGACTGAGCTTCAGATTCCCAAGTTGAGCTGGAATTTGGCCAGAAAGTTGGTTTTCTGAAAGGTCCTGTTAGATTGTAGGGGAAACAAAGTGATTTTATTAGATTGGAGGAGAATAGTACATGGCTTGGTGTAGGCTAATTGGCCTTCTTAGCATATTGGCTTATTGGCCACTACACTTGGTTTAAATTGATTTGGGTTATTTGGCCCTTACACCTTGATTGATGAGCTTATTGGCTCTCAACATAGCTTTTCTTTGGGTAGCTCTTGGCTCCTTAATGGTTTGGGAGTTCTTTGTTAGACTCCCCATATGACTTGGTTGGGTAGCTTTTATGCTCCACCTTGTATGACCACATATATGTCTATTTATAGACATAATCCACCGCCATACCTTGGTCCGCCGACTTAGGAAGTTAACCCCAGCCACATATGTGTGGCTTTCTCTAGATAATTCTCCAAGGTTGCATGTGGCTGCCGACTTCCCATCAAGCTATAGTACTTTCTTCAAGTTTCTAGATTTTTCTACAAATATGCATTAATTTCAACAGGTCCAGTGCAGTAAGGACTGATAGAAGACTAAGTCCAGCAGGAATTGGTCCAGAGAGTTGATTTCGACTGAAATTAAGAGTGTTGAGTGAGTTCCATGATATAATCTCTGATGGAAGGAAGCCAGTAAGCTGATTCTGCTCAAGAGAAAGACTGATTAAGCTAGGAAGAGCAGTGAGTTCCTGAGGGATAGTACCGTTAAAAAGGTATTACCGGCGTCATCAAAAACCTTCAAGTTCCAGGATGACACCCCGGTTGGAATGTTACCTGAAAATCTGTTATTTCTGATTTCCAGCCGTGTAAGATTCCGAGATAGTTTTTCAGGAAGCTCACCGGTAAGAAAGTTGTTGCTCATCAGCACCTGATCCAAGTTTGGTGCTGTCCACATGCCACTAGGAATGTTCCCAGACAATCCATTATCATAAACCTTCACTCTTGTTGGGTCAAAGTCTCCATTAAACAAAGGCGTTCTTTGTTCACACTTCACATTTTTCCATTGGCCTCCTCCGGGAAGCTTCAATTGATGTTTTGCCTTCTTGCCTTTCACGCACGTCACATTTGGCTTTAGCCTGGCTTGTTTGATTACCTTACCTCATCTTCTGCAGACTTTTCTGGTGCAGTGTGGTCCATTATCAATGACCATACCTTCAGTCCAACGATGGAGACTAAGAGAGGACCCCATGACAAACCAAGGACTGACAGAGAGGAGCTTTGCCGCCATATATTCATTTGCCACCGTTATAGCAAGAAGATTATCTTTCACTATATTAATCTTAGCCTTTCCCAACTGATCCCAGCCTTACGTAAAATGCCTTTTAACAGCTCCGCGGTTCAGGGGCCTGTCTGCCATGGGAACGCCAAGAAGAGCACTCAATTATGTGAGATTTCAGCCCTAAACATTTGTTGGGTCAAAGTCTCCCATAAAAAGAAGAAAATTGCTTTCTGATAAGTCTTTATTCAACACTTATGTAGGGCAAGATAGCGCTCTTTGTTCGTACTTCACATCCTACCATTATTGGCCTCATTCCTGGAAACTTCAAGCCTTGCATGCTTGCCTTTCACGTCCGTCATGTTTGGCATTACCCCGACTTTGTTTTATTACCTTACCTTATCTTCTGCGCAGATATTTGTGGTGCGGTGGTCCTAAATTATTACAAATTTAAATCGAAAATGGACAAGACAAGTGATTTTATACAATAAATTTCTTGCACTAGTTTAAAGCTTTGGCAAGAAAGGAGGATCCTAGCTGGCAATTATAATAACTTGCAAAGCACATGCATGTGGTTTTGGTTCCTCATTCTTATCAATTTTAGTGCAATATTATACAAAATGACACATACTATCAACTGGTTGTGCTCCCGATCTTTATCTCAGATCCTGGCTTTAAAAAAAATAAAGCCAACACCAAATTTGGAAATAAAAGGTATACATGAAACTTCTTTCTTGTAAATTAAAAATAAGTTAACAGCTGAACTAATTGTGAGAAAATTAAATTTATTAAAAGAAATAAGGTGGGACCAGTTGAAAATGGGACCCATTGCACATGACAACAAATGAATATATATATTCATTAAGGATTTTTAACTATAGACGTCCATGAACTTTGCCTCAAGTTGCAATTGGGTCCCCGAACTTTTTTTTGAGGCAATTACATCCGTTAACTCAACAAATAGTTCCAATTGGGTCCTACCGTCCAACTATGTCAATTTGTCCTTTAAAATGAGGGGGTAAACGCGTCATTTCGAGTTCTTCATCCATCATCAACCCCAACTCCACCTTCTTCATCCATCCTCGACCCCAACCACCCCACCTCCATCTTCAGAGCCTTCTCCACCAAGCCCAAAACTCATAAAGCCCTAACTCAACGATCCTGGTTATGAGAATGAAACCATCAGAGGCAAAACCCCACACCAACTCCACATTCTTCATCCATCATTGACCCCAACCACCCCACCTTCATCTTTAGAGCCTTCTCCACCAAGCCCAAAACTCAGAAACCCCTAACTCAACGATCCTGGTTATGAGAGTGAAACCATCAGAGGCAAAACCTCACAAAACCACAAAACTCAACGACCACAATTCGACTTTTAGGAAGGATTAAGGCATCAAAGGGAAACCCCAAGCCTAACGCCACCATACAACCACCCTCGTCCCCATCCGATATCCACCAAGCCTCACTTGAGACCTATCCAGATCCTCTCTCTGTGTCACTTGAGACCTATCCAGATCCTCTCTCTGTCTTTCTCTGCAAATCCCATCCAGATCCTCTCTCTCTCTCTCTCTCCTCTCTCTCTCTCTCTCTCTCTCTCTCTCTGTGCAAATTCAAAAATTGAAAAAGAAAAAAAAATCGAACACTTTGCAACTTCGGGGGTAGGGTTGCGGGAGATGAGGGGTGGGTTGCAGGTTGGGTTGGGATCTAGGTTTTGTAGGGGTGGGATAAGGAGGAGGGGGAATAGGTTGCAGGAGAGAAGGAGAGAGAGAGAGAGAGAGAGAGATTTGGATTTCTATTTTTGGATAAATTACTCAAATGGTCCTCAAACTTGTACGCGATTTACATTTTGGTCCCTAAATTAAATTATTAGTCCAAATGGTACATAAATTCTATTTTAATCGCTCATTTGATCCAACCGTTACATTCTGTCAATGTTGCTGTTAAATATGAGGGCAAATTGGTCATTTCGTACGTTAAAAATAAATAGATACTAAAAAATAAATAAAAACTCTCCATCTATCTATCTATCTATCTATCTATCTCTCTCTCTCTCTCTCTCTCTCTCTCTCTCTCTCTCTCAAGCTCCAACCCTCAAACCCATCCCACAACCACTCTCCACCCAAACCCATCCAACAACCACCCTCCATCCCAGGCCCCATGAACCCAAAACCCAAACTCCTCCCCACCCTCCACCTAAGCCAACAACTACAGGAAAATAATCTCCATAGACATAAACAAATGGAGCAAAAAAACCAAGTGCTTCAATCTTGAATGAATCTCCATAGACAGAAACAAGACTTTGCACTAGAATTTCAGCAACTTCTTTCGCCCATTGATCTGGTGGAGCATCAGACAATAGACCCATATGAGCAATAGATGGTATACACTGGTGAATCCCAGCAAGACCCACTTCAATTACCACAGAACCTTCACCTTTCTGGTCCATCACATCATTCAGAGGCTGTGGAGTTTCAGGTGGCACGAATGCACCCTCAGAAACAAGAAGCCCACCTGAAATGTCGTCAACATCGCTGTGAGGCAATAGCGAATCACCGCGAACAAAAAGTTGGGGACCATCGGAAATTTTAGCGTCGTCGGTCGCGTCACATGGATCAAAACGTCTGGGCACAACGAATGGGGCTTGAGATCCCAAGAAAACTTGCGATCTAAAGCATTGATGCGCTCCTAAAAACGGTTCAAAATTTGTAGGGAATTGGGGAGAAGAAATTGAAGGGAGGGGGTTTGGGTCTCATGATTTTTTTTCTCTTTTTCTTAAATTATTTTCTAATTTTGTATTTATTTTAACCCTATTTGATTGTTAATTATGAAAAGTCGTATTTGCCCCTAAAATTTGGTTACATTTAACATAAAATGTAACGGTTGGATCAAATGGGTGATTAAAATAGAGTTTATGTACCATTTGGACTAATAATTTAATTTAGGGACCAAAATGTAAATCACGTACAAGTTTGAGGACCATTTACCATATATTTTTTATTTTTAAGTTTATTTAATTATTTTTTTGCTTTTTTTTTAAATTTTAATATTTAAAATATTTTAATTGAGATGGACGGTTTTAGCCCCCAAATTAACGGCCAAATTGACGGAATGACTCAATTGAAACGGATGAGAGAGTTGGATGACCTAATTGCCTCGAAAAAAAAATTCGGGGACCCAAATTGTAACTCGAGGTAAAGTTTAGGGACCTCTACTGTTAAAAACCCTTTCATTAAATCCTACAAATGATTTTGAAGTCTCTAATTTCCAACTTGGTTTTGTTGGGTTTTCAACGTCCCATAAAAGGAAATGAACTTATTCTAGTTAACTTGTCCTCAAACCAAGACTGTTCAAACCGCGGGAACAGACCAACTTCTGAACCTCCATCACCAAATGACTAAACCAACCCCAAAATCTTCTCTCCACACCCACCTCTTCTTCCTTCTCTTCCTCCTCCTCCTCCTCCTCATCAGCCATGCCAACTCTTAGTCATTGCAAGCAGTGGTGGATCAAGGATTGTTACCTTATGAGGTCATAATGTTAAAATTCCGATTTTCTTTTTAAAATGAAACAATGCAACCAAAAAAAAAAAATTTATAAACACACCAAACTTATTCCAACTAACAAAAATATCATTCAATAAATCAAGCTCATATATGTATTATGTAAGCCATAAATTTCATCAAAATAATAACACCAACCCAAATAATAAATAAACTCACCCAAAAAATAAAATACCTTGAATATTAAAAAAAAAGAACACAATGGGTTTTGAACCATTAACCTTAAGGTTGAATTCAATTCAAAGACCACTATGGTAAGTGATATCTTTATTCTATTGATGTATACTTACAATATTTATAGGTCTACTCAACAGAATTAAAATAATATTTAAAAAAACCCTAACAGATATCTTCCTTTTAAAAAAAATTATGTCGGCTCATTTCTTATCCCTCTCAGTCCTCTTCTTCTTCCCCCTCCTCTCTTTTTGATGTAGAACAAATGGCAGATTTTATCGCGGTTGAGCTAGAAAAAGGACATAGCGGGAATTTGCAGATTTGTCGTCCGAGCTCCAATTAGGACGCAAAATACCATTTCGGAAAGGGAACGACGCCACGAGTCAAACTCACCGTTTTGCTATGATGTATGATGGATTTTGGCATCCTGAGGTCGTTTGGCCTTCCAAAACTGCATTCAAAGTTTCGTAGTTAATTTTCGGAATAAATTCTGTTTTTCAGTTTTAATGTAATAACTCCCCTAGCAGCTCAAGGGTTGAGAGATGTGTATTTAGACAGAGTTGGTGAACGTTTTTCAGTATCTCAGATTTTAATAAAATTATCCCAAGAGAATTACTCTCAATTTCTGGTGGAATCCAGATTTCTTGTTACTCAAGGTTTTCGTTTGAAACTTTTGTTGCTTGTGCTGCGTCACTTTTCTTCTCCCATAGTCTTCTTCTTCTTCCTCCCTCTCTCTCTCTCTTCTTCTCCCTCTCAAGTGGCGGATGCAGGAATTGCCACTTGTGGGGTCACAAAAATAGTGGCGGCGACGGAGACGGTTGGTGGTGAATGGCAGCTAGCACTCTTGGCTGCAGTGTCAAGGGATGAGATAATGGTGGTGGACAGGTACGGACCCAGGAATTGCAAATCGAGCGGGCTAAATTTACCTTAAGTACAAATATATTAAGAAAATTTGGTGAGTGTTTGTGGATTTTGGTTGGTTTTTGTAGATTTTTAAGCTTGAACAATAGATTGTATGAACTAAAAACTAGAGGTAACCCACATGAGTGACTTTTTTTTTTGATAAATTATAAGCCCTTGTTGCTATTTTATTATACGACATTTGAAATAGAGAAAATGATGGGATTATTGATAATATTGTTGAAATATTTGGAATGGATTGAAAGGAAACAAAGATGAAAAGAAAAAAGGAAAAGATATTTATTATATTTCCCCTCTCTCTTTTTTATAATATTTCCCCCTCTCTCTTTTTAATCACTCCCTCTCTTTTTATTCTTTTTCCTCTCTCTCTCTCTCTCTCTCTCCTCCCGTCTTCCTCTTACTTTATTCTTTTTCCTTCTTCCTTTTTCCCCTCTCTCTTTTTTAATTCTTTTTCCTCTCTCTTCTTCGTGCTCCGGCTGCCACCACCGAAGCTTCTTCTTCTTCTCCATGGGGTCACTTCCATGGCTGCCAAGGGCAAAAACCAGTACCTACCACTAAACTCCAGATCTGCCGTGGGGTCGTCTGACCCCATTGACCCCATGGTGGATCCGCCAACCACCGTCTCCTTCTTCCTCCCTCTCTCTCTCTCTCTCTCTCTCTCTCTCTCTCTCTCTTTTTCTTCTTCCTCCCTATTTCTTCTCCCTAGCAGCTTGCATCTTCTTCTCCATGGGGTCGTCTCCCATGGCTGCCAAGAGAAACCAAGAACCTCCAAGCCATTTTCCAGGGCTGCCATGGGGTCTTCTGACCCCATTGACCCCATGGTGGATCCGCCAAGAACAAGCTGTTCTGCTAAAACTAAAGTCATACTTTAGTTGGAGATTGCAAGTATGACTTTGGTTTTAGCAGAACAGCTTGTTCTTGGTCTTGCAATGACTGAGAGTTGGCATGGCTGATGAGGAGGAGGAGGAGGAGGAAGAGAAGGAAGCAGAGGTGGGTGTGGAGAGAAGATGTTGGGGTTGGTTTAGTCATTTGGTGATGGAGGTTCAGAAGTTGGTCTGTTCCCGCGGTTTGAACAGTCTTGGTTTGAGGACAAGTTAACTAGAATAAGTTCATTTCCTTTCATTTCTTTTAATATATTTAATTTTCTTACGACAGTTCACTTGTTTTAGACTTTTAGACTTTTTTTCGTTTGTTATTTTCCATTCCAACACCTTTTCTATTTCTTTTCCACCTTCCATCTCTGATTCTGCTACCTTTCCTTTTCTTCCTCCATCTTTCCTCGTGTTGTTCCCTTTTTGTTTTCCTGTTTTCCCCTTTTCTCAGACCACAACTGTTGAAATTAATGCATATTTGTAGAAAAATTTAGAAACTTGAAGAAAGTACCATAGCTTGATGGGAAGTCGGCGGCCACATGCAACCTTGGAGAATTATCTAGAGAAAGCCACACATATGTGGCTGGGGTTAACTTCCTAAGTCGGCGGACCAAGGTATGGCGGTGGATTATGTCTATAAATAGACATATATGTGGTCATACAAGGTGGAGCATAAAAGCTACCCAACCAAGTGTGAGAGCCAATAAGCTCATCAATCAAGGTGTGAGGGTCAAATAGCCCAAATCAATTTAAACCAAGTGTAGTGGCCAATAAGCCAATATGCTAAGAAGGCCAATTAGCCTACACCAAGCCATGTACTATTCTCCTCCAATCTAATAAAATCATTTTGTTTCCCCTACAATTCTAACAACAAAAACAAACTTTTTTTCATCCATCCATATTTATTATTTATCCTCCGTTGTTTTGTTCTCTTTTTTTTTCCCCTTCCATTTGACATGGCTCTAGATACTGATCAGCTGGTCATCCAACTGGAGGACTCGCTTGAGCTCGGCGGCTTACTTACTGGTGTACCTCTTAAAGGCATTTTACATAAGGCTTGGGATCAGTTTGGAGAGGCTAAGGGGGGTGTATCTAATTCTAACTTTTAAATACTTTTTTTAAGTGAATGACTTTTCTAAAGTAGACAAATTCTTAATGACTTTTACATACTTTATAAAGTTAAGTGACAAACTTTCATATACTTTTTGTCATAGAGTTTTATAGACTTTTAAATACTTATTTTTATATTTATTTTACAAATATCATTTATCTTTTATGTTGAATGAACTAGTCGGCATATATTGAACAAAAAATTAGGGAAAAAAACAATTGGATACAATTACATAAAAGCAAAGAATAGTTCTCCTTAACATTAGAAAATGATAAAAATGACAAAGTACATTTGAAAATGTACCATAAGGAAATAATTGGCATTCAACTAGCCATGATTCAGTTTTTAAAAAAGCTTAGCCATGATTCATTTCAATGACGGTGAATAAACCATAATACAAATTCCTTTTGAAAATTCCAATGCTCATTACCGTTGAGTTCCGTTATTATCTTGCATGGCATTCCTTTTGAAAATTCCAATGCACCTTTTAAATTTTTATTTATCAAATCTAATCACATAGACAAGTAACATATTCTTATCAAAAGAAATAATAAATATTACTCAGTCATCAATAATATTTCATAAACACTCACAAATCAACATAAATGGTCAGATTACAAGAGTCTATATTCCAGCAATTCTCCTAACCTAATATGTGGGATGTAATCAAATTGAGAACATTATATGAAAAAATTATCCACCTAACGAATTATGGGTAAAGAAACAGCACCTAAAGAATTAATGGGTTTAGGGGCAAAAAATTATATAATAAAATATTGTATGCAAACATAGCATATGAGACAATCAATATAATAAAATATTTATATGCAAACATAGCTGAAGGAAGTGGATGAGAAGAGATATTCATCAACAGAAACGTGTGGATGAGAAGAGAAGAAAAACATTCAATATTTTTTTACTAACCTGAAGGAAGTGGATGACAATGGGATACCAAAGTGGAGCCCTAACCATGAAGAAAAAAGATCCATCTGCATGATGCTTGATATAACAAAGGAAGAAGGAATTGGAGACGTTTGGAGAAGTTTTGGTTCTATCTTCTCAGCTTCCCAATATTTTCATAAAGTCTGGTTTAAATTAGCAAGACTTTTGGTAGTAAGAATTACCTTTAAAAGTATTGAAAAGTCATTTATTTAACAAAGTTTTTAAAAGTCATTAACATTTTGGATACCTCAAAACTTTTAAATACTCTTTAAAACTCACAATTGAATACAACTAAACTTTTAAATACTATTTAAAAGTCACAATTGAATACCTTCAGACTTTTAAACTCATTAAAAGTCATTAAAAGTTAGAATTGAATACACCCCCCTAAGATTAATATAGTAAAAGAAAATCTTCTTGCTATAACGGTGACAAAGCTCCTCTCTGTCAGTCCTTGGTTTGTCATGGGTTCGGGGTGTGTTTATTTGAGATTTTTAAGATTATTTAAAGATTAGAGATATAAAAAAAAAAAAAAAAAAAAAAAAAAATAGTAGATTTAAGCATAATGTATTGACTTATAGGATTTTATTTATGGATTTCTATAATCAAGATTTCTTTTATAGATTGTAAAAGATTTCTTTTAGTCTCCATCGTTGGACTCAGGGGCGGATCTTAAGCCAGGGTAGGGTAGGCTACCGCCTACCCAAAAATATTTTACTAAAAAAAAACCTATATATAAGCTATGTAATTGATATCCATTCCATGTGTTGGTATACACTCTTGCCTACCCAATCCATATAAAACCCACAGCACAAGCCCACTCAAACTTTAAAAAACTGAAAAAAAATTATAACCAGCCAACCCATGTTATGAATGGCCCAGTCAAACTTTAATAAAAGAAAGAATATAACTTAAGCAGCCAAATAGTGGCAGTGCAGTGCAATTCCAGACAGAGTTGGGAGAGCTTCTTCTCAACGCAAGTCTTGGCTGTGCTGTGCAATCGTGGACACTGGACAGCCTCTTCTCTTCTCTTCTCATATACAAGGAAACAAGTATTCTTCTTAATCTCTTCTCTTTAATTATCTTCTTCTATTAGGTTATTCCTAAAATAAATGTATGCATCTTAGTTTTAATTTTAATTTGAAATTGAGTTTTCTATGGTTTAATTAAGGTCGTAGTTTGAAACGAGCTGGAGCCACTCGTTGGGGATCTCACTTTGCCTCTATTACAAGTTTAATGAGTTTATTTAAAGAGACTAAAATACTTCTTAAGGAAATCAGTGAACATGGACCTAACCAACAATTTCGTGGTGATGCAGAGAGTAACTATATTGCTATGATGTCTTTTGAGTTTGTGTTTGCATTGCTTTTGATGGATAAAATTATGGGATTGACCAACTTTCTCTGTCAAGTGTTTCAGAAAAAAAAAACTCAAGATATTGTAAGTGCTTTAAACTTTGTTGAAAACACAAAATCACAGTTCTAAGATATGAGGGCACATGGCTGGGATGATTTATTCATGAGTGTGGTATCCTTTTGTGAACAACATGGTATTGATGTTCCTGATATGAGTTCTCGTTATATGATGGGCACACGTCGTTCTTGTCAACAAAAAGATTTTATTACAGTTGAACATTACTATCGCATTGATGTATTTAATGATGTGATAGATTGCATGTTGAGGGAGTTAAATGACAGATTTCCAGAGCAAACAGTTGAACTTCTTATTCTTAGCTCAGCATTGGATCCTCGTAATTCCTTCAAATCATTCAATATTGGGCATCTATGTAAACTTGCTGAGAAATTTTATCCTGCTGATTTCAGTCCAAGTGACTTAAAAGGTTTGGAAATTGAGTTGAGGTATTTTCAAAATGATATGTATCGCCTTCCCTGCTTTAAGGACCTCACCACTCTTCCTCAGTTATGTCAACAATTGGTGGAAACAACTTTGGCAGAAAACTACCATTTGCTTTACAGATTGATTCAGTTGGTGTTGACTCTTCCTGTTTCTACAGCAACAATGGAACGAGCTTTTTCATGTATGAGAATTATTAAGAATAGACTTCGAAGCACCATAGCTGATGAATTCCTTGCTGATTGCATGATTCTCCACATTGAAATAGAGTTTGCTAATAGTATCGATAATGAAGAGATAATTGAAGAATTTAAGATTTCTAAGCCTCGTATGGTACAATTTTAGATTAAAATAGTTTAGTTTTTGTGTTGCATTGCATTTACTTCTTGTTTTTTTTGTTAAGCTTTTATTTATGTATAGATATGCATATTTGAGGGTAAGGCTCATTACGTCCCCCCTGACTAGGTGTATCTTTTTATTTTTATCAATAAAATTCACTCGTACCGTCGAGTTTTTAAGGTAAGTTTTGCCTACCTGACTTTTGAATCCTGAATCCGCCACTGGTTGGACTGAAGGCATGGTCATTGATAATGGACCACACTGCACCAGAAACGTCTGCAGAAGATGAGGTAAGGTAATAAAACAAGCCAGGCCAAAGCTAAATGTGACGTGCGGGAAAGGCAAGAAGGCAAAACTTCAATTGAAGCTTCACGGAAGGAGGCCAATGGAAAAATGTGAAGTGTGAACAAAGAACGCCTTTGTTTAATGGAGACTTTGACCCAGCAAAAGTTTAGAGTTTTGGTCCCAGATGTTCACTAAGGCAGGTACGTCTGGTTTTTCACTGATATAGACAGGGAAGAAAAAAAATGAAAATAAAATTCAACCGGAAGGAAGAATTGCAGATTGTGACAAAATGCCTTTGAATAAAATTAAACTCACCAGTCACCACTTGCTTTGAGGACGTGATGTGAATCACCTAAAAGAAGCGCACTGGCACAAAACCAAAAACTAATTGTTAGAAAGAGGCCTTGAGCTTCCTTTTGTCTAATAGTATAGTTCTAGGTATGCCGGAGTAGTGCGTCATTCTCTACTTATGCTCAAGTTTAAATCCTCATTTTTGTATATTAGAATAATTTAGAAGTAATTTAGACTATTATTTATATAAAAATTAGTATAACTTTGGAGTATTCAAAGGAAAAAGTATACAATAATACAAGGCATACCCTTCATCTAAAAAAAAGGAAACAATATTATTTCCTTGTTTTGTTTTGGGTTTAAGAGGGAGAAACACTTGTGTGAAATAGGGATAGCATTGTCTTGCTATTCTCGGTCAATCACAACATGTCACGCGGGATAAATTTTTCACGTGGCAGTCTGTGATTGGCATGGGATAGCAAAACAGTGTTATCCCTTCAAGTTTTTTTGCTAAGAGGGGCCAGTCCTAGCAGAACAAGATGGCCATTACCTCGAGTAGTTACAAATAAAGGATTATGAACGGCTATGGTTGAAAGCTTGGGTAACAAGTAAGAGAATATGTTTCCTTCATTATTTCCTTGATCTAATTTCCATCATCAATTAAAGCATTGTTTTTCTAACCTACGGGTATAATTGAAAAACTAAACAAATTTTACTTCTAATTCCTCTTGTTGAACTCAACCAAGCTTATCAAACATTTGTTGCCAAACTACCATCACAGTCTTCCAGTATCTGCTCGCGCTTCGAATTCTTGAGCAGAGGAGCACCAACATAATCAGTCTTTTCTCTGTGAACTCCTGGATGGCCGCATCGGAGTAAGATTTGCAGAACCTCCTTCATGGAAGGCCTAGTAGAAGGAAGTTTCTCGGTGCAATAGATGCCAAGTCTGAAAACGGAGCACATTTCATCCAAGTAGCAAGGTTCTTTGATGTCCTTGTCCAAAGCATCGGCAAGAGGGTTGTCTTCTTGAACATGGCGCCATGCCCATTCGGCAAGAGCAGTGTGTTCGTCGCCATCATTAGCTTCCCTTCCAGTGGTCAACTCCAGAAGGACGACCCCAAAACTATATACATCAATCTTCTCATTCACTCGTATTGTATGAGCACATTCTGCATTCAAGTGAAAATAAAATAAAATAAAACCTGTGAGATTGCTAATAGAAACAGAGGAAAAATAACACATATTTCTTTAGGAACGAACTTTAACATTTGTAGGGTGCAAGGTTTACCTGGAGCAATGTAGCCAAAGGAGCCAGCAACAGCCGACATTGTAGCAAGTTCTCCTTGCTTGACCAACATCTTGGCTAGACCAAAATCTGCTATTTTTGCATTAAAATCAGAGTCTAACAAGATGTTACTCGATTTCACGTCTCGATGCACAACGGGTGGCACACAGTCATGATGCATATAGCGGAGGCCCTGAGCAGCCCCCACTGCAATATGCAACCTCTTAGGCCAGTCCAGCACAACATGGTGGACTGACCTGGAGAGATTGGATGGCCTGTTTCTCTTGTGCAGCCATCGATCCAGACTTCGATTCTCTGAGTACTCATAGACAAGTAGTTTTGAATTGTCCTTGGATATACAGCACATCAGCTTCACTATGTTGGCATGTCGAATGGAACTCAATATCTTGACTTCGGCAAGAAATTCTTTTTCAAGCTTCTCTTCTAACTTCTCATCTTTCCAAATCTTTTTCACAGCAACAACATCGCCTGTACGATTGACAGGAACACAATAAACTTTTCCTGAGCCGCCACTTCCAATCATATTACTTTCTGTCAATCCTGAGAGAATTTTTGACATTCTGAAATTCAACCTCTGAAATGCGGTGAGCTTCCAATCAAAATCCGATCTGTTTCTCTTCCAATAACCTCTGACCATGAAGAATGATAAGGACAAAGCCAACAAGGACAAAAGTATGCCCAAAGTTAAGATCAATGCAAGATATGTAGACGAAATTTTGCTGGACTTTCGAGGTTGAGAATTACATATGCTGAGTTTTGCTGAGGGGCTAGTTGCACAGAGGCCTTGATTGTCCAAGAAGCTTCCATCATAAGCAGAATTTTCAAATTCAATTGGGATCTTCCCAGATAGGTGATTGGAAGAGAGATTGAAGTTGCTGAGCGTCAGATGCCCAAGTTGAGCTGGAATTTGCCCAGAAAGTTGGTTTTCTGAAAGGTCCAGCGCAGTAAGGACTGGTAGAAGACCAAGTCCCGCTGGAATGGCTCCAGAGAGTTGATTTCGACTGAAATTAAGAATGTTGAGTGATTTCCATGACATAATCTCTGATGGAAGGAAGCCAGTAAGCTGATTCTGATCAAGAGAGAGAGTGATTAAGCTACGAAGAGCAGTGAGTTCCTGAGGGATAATACCATTAAAAAGGTTATTACCGGCGTCAAAAACCTTCAAGTTCCAGGATGACACCCCGGTTGGAATGTTACCTGAAAATCTGTTATCTCTGATTTCCAGCCGTGTAATATTCTGAGATATTTTCTCAGGAAGCTCGCCTGTAAGAGAGTTGTTACTCATCAGCACCTGACTCAAGTTTGGTGCTGTCCACAAGCCACTAGGTATGTTCCCAGACAATCCATTATCAGAAACCTTTACTTCTGTTAAACTAGTGCAATTTCCAAGAGAGCTTGGTAACTCCCCAGTGAGATTGTTCTCATAAGCTACAAGTGTTGACAGCTTACCCCAATAGCACAAATGGTCTGGCAGTTTGCCAGTTAGCCTATTCCCCGAAACCTCGAACCCTTCAAGCTCTGAATACCTTCCAAAGTCTGGAGGCAATGTTCCAGACAAATTATTGATGAACACTCTGAACTTTTTGAGATTTGGTAGACGGCCAATGCTTGCTGGAACCGCCCCAGAAAAACCATTTAAAAACAAAGCTAACTCTGTTAACTTGGTAAGGTTTCCATAATCTTCTGGTATTGGCCCTGTTAAATCGTTGCCAGAAATATCAATAATACTCAAGTTCAATGCTTCAACCACTTGAGGTACATCCCCAGACAGGCTGTTGTTGAAGAGGTAGATTATACTCAAATTCTTCAACAGAAACAAACCATTTGGGATTGTCCCATTTAAACTGTTGGTTGCCAAATCCAATTCTTCCAGTGCTGTCATTTCTCTAAGTGTTCCGGGGAGTTCTCCAATCAAATTCGATCCATGTATATGCAAAGTCTTCAAGTTTTTCAACTGGGTGAAATTGGAAGGCAAATTCCATGGCACAAGTTTTGTATTGAAAGAGAGACTTAGGTGTTTAAGATTGGACAAGTTACCTGTTTCTGGTGGCACGGAACCATTAAAGTGGTTCATATACAGCTGCAGGTTCCTGAGCTCTTGTAACCTCCCAATAGCCGCCGGTATGTCACCAGAAAAGTAGTTAGCGCCAAGGTCAAGGTATTGAAGCAGAGGCAAGCTGTCGATATCATCAGGAATCTTGCCATCAAAGGAGTTTTGAGAGAGGTTCAAGTACTGTAGCTTTGAACAGTTGTAGAAAGCTTTTGGGAACTCTCCAGCAAAGTAGTTGTAGCTGAGATCAATGAGTGTGAGGTTCTTGAGATCACAAATGAAAGGTGGAACTTGTAGGGTGATGTTCGTGTTGACCAGAGACAATCCGGTGACAGAGTTGTTTGTGCAGGTGATCTCAGGCCGCCAGGAACAGTGGGAAGTGTTTGATGTTGATGGAATCCAATGGCTGAGGAACGGTGGAGATTGCAAGTATGACTTTAGTTTTAGCAGAACAGCTTGTTCTTGGTCTTGCAATGACTGAGAGTTGGCATGGCCGATGAGGAGGAGGGGGAGGAAGAGCAGGATGCAGAGATGGGTGTGGAGAGAAGATGTTGGGGTTGGTTTAGTCATTTGGTGATGGAGGTTCAGAAGTTGGTTTGTTCCCGCGGCATGAACTCTGGTTTTGAGGACAAGACAAGTAAGTTTCCAGTTCCAGAAGATGCACAAAATTTCAATTCATGTGGGCTTTGAATTTTGTAGAAAAGTTGAGTGATGATATCAATGGGTTTTGGTGGAAATAGATTTGTAGTCTGTCAAATATATGGGCTGCATTATTTCTAGAAGCATAGTGAAAAGCAGTATGCATGCAGCCATCCAACCAAGATGCTGGAAATATATTTGTAGTCTGTCAAATATATGGCCAACAACCAAGATGCTGGAAAAAAGAAATGCAAGTCTTTGTTGACCAATCTTGGCCTCTCTTCAAAAACTTTGTGTGTCACTTGTGAACTCCTTTTGAGTCAAAAACAAAAACCAAGCGTCAAGGACCTTGCTGATAACACGTTCGCACGTTAAGAAATTTCTTTAGATATTAATTAATTATCAATAAATTATATTATCACGTTCGCACGTCAAAGAAATTATTTCTTAGGCCAGTCCAGCACACGAGGTTGGACTGACCTCGAGAGATTGGATGGCCTGTTTCTATTGTGCAGCCATCCATCCAGGCTTCGATTGTCCGAGTACTCATAGACAAGAAGTTTTGAATTGTCCTTGGATATACAGCACATCTGCTTCACTATGTTGGCAAGTCGAATGGAACTCAATATCTTCACTTCTGCAAGAAATTATTTTTCAAGCTTCTCTTCTAACTTCTTATCTTTCCAAATCTTTTTCACGGCAATAACATCGCCTGTACGATTGACAGGAACACGATAAACTTTTCTTGATCTGCCACTTCCAATCATATTACTTTCTGTCAATCCTGAGAGAATTTTTGACACTGAAATTCAACCTCTGAAATGAGGTGAGCTCCCGATCAGAGTCTGATCCGTTTCTCTTCCAATAACCTCTTGACCAAAAGAATGATAAGTGGGTGACCATGTTCATGTCAAAAACAAAAGCCTTGTGAAGGGAACATATGTCAAACTGCAACCTCACACCAAGGACTTTCTAGACATCTCAAACCCTAAAGCCGTTTTGGAGCTACTCTTGTTTAACCTCTGGTGACACTATCATGGTTCCTTATAAAAGTAAGAAGTATTACATCAACATAATTGAAACAAAGCCCTCCTCTGCAATCAGTATAGTTGATACCGACTGAAAGAAGCCAGCACCATCCACTCGGCCAAAGAAGAGACCACAAGAAGCTGAAGAAGATGAAGAGCCACCTCAAAACATAGCAAAGTTCAGTCCCTTTACTGGTTCAGCAAGACAATTGGATGGAAAACTGGTCTTGACACAATCCATTGCGCCTACAGTTTCCTCTCCTCCTGTACTCAAGAAGCACCAAATGGAGAGTGGAAATGGAACCAATAAGGGTTCTGAGTCATCAGCTTCTGCTTCATTTCAACATTCTGGAAAGCTTGTGTGTGGTTCAAATGTCAACCGGCCCATGAATGAAACCCCAAAAGTTTCCCCAAACAACAGCAGTAGGCAAGAGCCCTCTCACAAGGATGAAGAGCCAGAGTTGCAAGCATTCACAGGGAAGAAATATACCCTGAAATGGTGAAGTTAAGGCATATCGATCCTTCGTCTAAAACATATGAGAATGGCTATGGTTGAAAGCCTGGATAACAAGTAACACCTAGGGAGGGAGAATTTGTTTGACTCAGTATTTCCTTGTTCTGATTACCATGAATTATAACAATTGCAATTGTCATCTTTACTGGTCTCTGATTCTTCCTTTTTTTTCATACATAATTGGTATTTTTTGGCTTTTGAAATAACTGAATGTACGTATTAATTATTTCAGTCTAATTCTCAGTCTAGTCTGAAGAAAACTATACTTTTGTGCTAATAAAGTTAAGCCCCTCACTCATTCGTTTTTTAGGGCAAAAGCAGGACTGTACAACGTTTTTCTATTTATGACTTGCTTTGAGGACATGTTAATCACCTAGAATCCCACTAGAAGAGCACTTTTCTTTACCAATTTCAAGTTCTAGTTGAAAACTATACTCTTTTCACCATTGATGAACAACTATTTTCAATTAGATTTTAGTCAGTTTAGCAAATAAACACAGCCATAATCCAAAATGAGTATTGAAAAGAAGAATGATGATAAACCCACCATACCGAAAAGAAAGAAAAAACAAATTTCTTCCACAAAAGAGAGCAATTCTAAAACAAACAAAAACAACCAAACCCGTAACCAAGAGAAGAAAATGAATCATGCAGAAAGTGACAAACTCAGCCAACACAGTTTAGTTTCTTAATTATCCATTTCAACATGTATGATCTATGTCAAATCTAGGTCCTGTATAGTCTATAGTAATTCAGCTAAATGCTTAATATCTACATATTTGGCCTTTGACTCTGTTTTCAATGAGCAGACTAGCTGATAGTTGCAGCAACGGAATCCATTAGTGCCTAACAGAGAAAGGAAGGAGGGAAGGAGTCATATAGAACATAATGAGAACATCTAAAAGTCAGTTTAGAAGATAAAAATGGGAATGCAACATTTTTCCTTCAGAAATCAATAGCTGGGCTACTTTCACATTGCTGGAGTTGATACTTTATGAACCAAACATATTAACATCTAAAAGGTTTTATTTTTCTTAAACTTTCTCTATCAGTAAAACCCACAAATTTGACACAACATAAGAATTGGTGAAGATTCAACCCCATACCAACTCACATTGATTGCCTTTGCCTCCATAAATTTGATACAACTATGCTCGCAGAGAGTCTTTATTTTGCAGGGGCAGATTCAAGTGAAACATTATTAAGGCGCTCCAGAGCCACAATAAGCGCCTGGGTACCCAAATTGCCTTCCCCATGAGCCTTCAACGACAAGTAAAGCTGCTGAGCCAGAGCCAATCCAGGCAAAGCCAAACCCATGTTCTGGCATTCCTTCAAGCAAATGCCCAAGTCCTTCACAAAGTGGTTCACATAGAATCCCGGCTCGAAATCCCTCTTCAAAATCCTACCTCCATACAAATCCAGCGACTTTGAACCAGCCGCACCCACTTTGATCGCATTTAAGAACAGACCCACATCGAGACCAGCCTTGTGAGCAAATACCATGCCCTCCACCAGACCCACCATGGTTGAAGCTATGACTATCTGGTTCGCTAGCTTCGCGAACTGCCCTTTTCCACTGCCACCCATGTAATTAACTTTACCCATGAGAGCAAATAAAGGTGCCAGCTTGAGGACAACGTTTTCGTCCCCGCCGGCAAGGATGGCCAGAGTTCCGTTTTTGGCGCCAACGTCGCCGCCAGTGACGGGAGCGTCGACTGAGAAGCAGGATTTGGCGGCGGCGGCCGAGGAAATCTCGACGGCGAGGGAGGGTTCGGAGGTGGTCATGTCCACGAGGATGCCGCCGGGTCGGAGGCCCGAGAGGGCCCCGGTGGTGGGGTCCAGGAGGACGGAGCGGACGTCGGAAGGGTAGCCGACGATGGAGAAGACGACGTCGGATTGGGAGGCGACGGCGTTTGGGGAGTGGGCCAGGTGGGCCCCGAGGTCGACGAGGGGCTGGGCCTTGGAGAGGGTGCGGTTGAAGACAGTGAGGGAGTAGCCGGCTTTGAGGAGGTGGGTACACATGGACCGGCCCATAACGCCGGTGCCGATCCACCCGACCCGGGTGTTTGATGGGCTCACGGTGGAGTCGGATGACGTCGCGGTGGCCATCGAACGGCGGAGGCAGAGGCGGGAGAGACCGGTGAAGTGAGAGACTGGGCGAAGGAGTGGAAGTGAAATGTGTTTGACTATTTTGATTGTCATCGCATTATCTCATTTTGTAGCGGACGGTGACTTTGCGGTTCTCATTATTTTTCATAGAAAATCAACGGTTGATGTTAGAGCAAGGTGGCGGGTTCTCCAATCGGCCAAGAGGCAAAACCCGCCAAAGTTCGGGTTTTGACATAAACCCCATTTAGAAATAGAAATAGAATTAGATTAGATTAGAATTATACATGTGAAAATCGATTGGGCTTGATTTGCCAACTAAATGGGCTTGAGCATGGATCAGAAGTTATTCAACCCATCTTAGATTTTTATATCAAACATGAAAAGTTAATATAAAAAATTCCACACTAATAAACTACACCTTAGTAGTGTGTGAGAAAACCATCTCTCTTTCTAATTTTGGCCTATTAAAAAAATTTATAAAAAAAAAGAAAGATAAATGACACCACCACCTATCCAAAAACCAGAGCATTAGCATTGGAATTGATATGAAGAATTAATCTTTTGAACTAACTAATTTCACATTAATGTAGTGTTGAAGAAAAATGTGAATTTTTCAATATAATTTCACCACCATTATTTAAATAATGGAATTTTATTATTTTAGATTCGACCTATTCGAGATGCGATGTTTCTTAATTACAATTCCTTGCTTTAAGGGTTCAGGGTTTAGGGTTAGGGTTCAGGATTTTGCAGCTTCTCCCAAGTCGAACCTCTAGGTGCCTACGTATCCCTTGTGAGATTCAAGCCACTCGTAATTCAAAGAATTGCAATGAATAAATGACTCGTTGCAAAAAGGAGGATTTTGAATAAATTGATTGAAAAAGTGTTTGAGTGAATTTAGCTTAATAAACGAGAAATTCTATATGAAATTGTGTTTGGAGCGAATTTGGTTAAGAATAAACCAGGGATTTTATTTGGATTTAAGATTTGGGCAGTTGCATCTAGATTGAGTCTCTAGATTGCCTACGTACAATTTCGAAGGGATCAAACCAACGTAGTTTGAAAATTTGGAAATTAATGAGTAAGTGTGTCTCACTAATTTAGAATTTGTGTCTTTGAGACAATTTGGAGATTTTAAGATTTTCATAGGTAAATGACCCATGAGAAAAAATTGGATGGTTTTGTACCATTTTCTTATTGTCAACGTCGAAGAAAAAAATAATGAGTAATTTTTATGAACCCACTAATTTTCTACAATTAACATTTGCATTTGGACCCAAATATGATTTTCAAGATTTTAAAATTGATCAATTTGGGCCTCTATAAATTATTGAGTGTTAATTTGGATCGCCCATTAAATATTTTGGGTTCTTGAGAATTAATGGGCAAACAACCCATTAATCTGTTTACAAGCCCTTGATATCTTGATTGACCCATGAACAAAAGCTGGCCCACAACTGTGGTCTTCGCGAAACAACACCAGTGTGAAGCTCATCCCTTTAGTTGAAGGAGTCATTATCAAATTAGGATTTCAAGAGTGGAGTTGTGAAGGAATTATAGTCTTGACAGACTTGGAGAACAATTGCACCACTACCCAAACTTCTCATTATTTAGAGGGACCTATACTCAGAGAGAAAAATAAATTGATAAGTGTGCTCGGAGAGAAAAAGAAATTGATACAACTTTCTCAAGCAGAGAAGGAGAGAATTGGTTAGAGAGTCTAAGAAGTAGAGCACGTTCTTGTTTTTTCTGCACATTTTGGAATTAACTCCCAAAACATCTTCTTCTTTTTTTCCATGGATTTCCTTTTGCTTGGCAGAGCTTTATTGAACGGGAATCATCTTATGGATTTGCTATTCATATATGTAATTTAAGGGTTGCCAACCAACATGAATTTATCATCCAAGAATTTGATTTAATGGTTGTCACCCAACATAGATTTATCATTCAATAAATTGATTCAAGGGTTGCCCCCAACTTGGATTTATCATCCAAGAATCTGACACAAGGGTTGCCACCACACAGAAATTAATTGAGATGACAATATACCTATGACAATTTCTTTTGTCTCTGTGCTCTAGCAATTTTTCCAGCAGCAGGTCCCTTTTTCTTCTCTCTCCTTTTCCTTTATAGCCTTGCTTTTGTAGGCTAGATGTGAGAGATTTCTTTAGTGTAGGATGCTTCATTCAAATATTGAATAATCAGCTCCACGAATACAGGAACCATCAACCTCTCTTGAGAGTTTTCATTGGTTGGTCAAATTCCCATGTTTTTTTAGAACTCCTCTGATTACCCAGCTTCAAGGAGATGAGGAGATTTCCACGTGGGATCAACCCACTTTTGAATTGTTTTATCTCTTGCTTTTAAAATTTGGAAAGCTTATTGGATAATTGGATTTACCTTTTATTTTTACGAAACACTTATCATCTGTATTAAACAATGCTTGCTGGACGTGGGCTTAGACAACCCCAAGCCCTTCTTTTTTATTTTATTTTATTTTTTGTGAATTTTTTTATTTCAACATAAAGTAAGCATGAAACTGTCATTCATCTCCTGATAAAGGAACTAGATCACAAGCCAGAGTATAATAGATTAATAATGAATCCTAATTTCAGCATATTGTTTGAGTTTGCCATGTTTTTACAAAGATATCAAAAAGCCAACCAGCAAAGGCCCAAAGGAAAGCCAAACCCAACCAAACAAACAGGACAGACACGCCATACCAAAGAACTATAAACAAGAACAGGAAGCAAAAACACCAAAAGAACTAGAGAGGATGGGGGTCGCACAAGCCACGACTCCAAGCACATCCCCTTTCTGGCAAGCGAGGCAACGGCATCAGCAGACCGGTTTGCCATATGCTTGCGTTATTATGACTGGAAAACTATACAAATTTTACTTCCAATCCCTCTTCTTCAACTCAACAAAGTCTATCACACATTTGTTGCTAAACTACCATTATGTCTTCCAATAACCGCTTGAGCAGAGGAGCGGCAACATGCTCGGTCTTTTCTCTGCAACCTAACGGTTGCCGCATCTGTTCAAGATCCGCACAACCTCCGTCATTGAAGGCCTATCACAAGGAAGTCTTTGGGTGCAACGGATGGCAAGTGAGAAAACTAAGCACATTTCATCCAACCAACGAGGTTCTCTGATGTCCTCGTCCAGAGCATCGGCAAGAGGGTTGCGTTTTTCAAAATGGCGCCATGCCCATTCAACAAGATTAGTGTGTTCGTCCTTAGCTTCCCTACCGGTGGTCAACTCCAGAAGGATGACACCAAAACTGTATACATCGATCTTCTCATTCATTCGTCTTGTATAGCCAAATTCTGCATTCAAGTCATAAAAACCATTTAACTGAGATTGCTAATAGAAACAAAGGAAAAATAAACCACATTTCTTCAGGAACTAACTCCAACATTTGTGGGGGGTGTAAGGTTTACCTGGAGCAAAGTAGCCGGGGGAGCCAGCAACAGCCGACATTGTAGCGAGTTCTCCTTCCTTGACCAGCATCTTGGCTAGACCAAAATCTGCTATTTTGGCATTAAAATCAGAGTCCAACAAAATGTTACTCGATTTCATGTCTCGATGCACAACGGGTGGCACACAGTAGTGATGCATGTAGCAGAGGCCCCGAGCAGCTCCCACTGCAATCTGCAACCTCTTAGGCCAGTCCAGCACAACATGGTGGACTGAACTTGTGAGATTGGATGGCCAGTTTCTCTTGTGAAGCCATTGATCCAGGCTTCGATTCTCCAAGTACTCATAGACAAGAAGTTTTGAATTGTCCTTGGATATACAGCACATCAGCTTCACTATGTTGGCATGTCGAATGGAACTCAATATCTTCACTTCTGCAAGAAATTCTTTCTCAAGCTTCTCTTCTAAGTTCGTATCATTCGAAATCTTTTTCACGGCAACAACATCGCCTGTACGATTGACAGGAACACGATAAACTTTTCCTGATCCTCCACTTCCAACCAGATTATTTTCTGTAACCCCTGAGATAATTTTTGACTCTGTGAAATTCAGCCTCTGAAATCGGGTGAGCTTCCAATTAGAATCTGATCTATTTCTCTTCCAATAAGCTCTGACCATGAAGAATGATAAGGACAAAGCCAACAAGGACAAAAGTATGCCGAAAGTTAAGATCAATGCAAGATATTTAGACGAAATTTTGCCGGACTTTCGGTTGCATATCTTGAGTTTTGCTGATGGGCTAGTTGCACAGAGACCTTGATTGTCCAAGAAGCTTCTGTCATAAGCAGCATTTTCAAATTCAATTGGAATCTTCCCAGATAGGTGATTGGACGAGAGATTGAGATTGTTGAGCTTCAGACGCCCAAGTTGAGCTGGAATTTGGCCAGAAAGTTGGTTTTCTGAAAGGTCTAGCGCAGCAAGGCCTGGTAGAAGACCAAGTTTCGCTGGAATTGGTCCATACAGTTGATTTCGACTGAAATTAAGGGTATAGAGTGTTTTCCATGATATAATATCTGTTGGAAGGAAGCCGGTAAGCTTATTCTGATCAAGATAAAGAGTAATTAAGCTAGGAAGAGAGGTTAGTTCCTGAGGAACAGTGCCATTAAAGAAGTTATTACCGGCGTCAAAAACCTGCAAATTCGTCCAGGAAGACACCCCGGCTGGAATGTTACCTGAAAATCTGTTATCTCTGATTTCCAGCCGCGAAAGACTCCAAGACATCTTCTCAGGAAGCTCGCCGGTAAAAGAATTGTTGCTCATCAGCACAGAACTCAAGTTTGGTGCTGTCCACATGCCACTAGGAATGTTTCCAGACAACCCATTATCATAAACATTCACGGTGGACAAACTACTGCAATTTCCTAGAGAGGTTGGTAATTCCCCAGTGAGATTGTTCTCATAAGCTTCAAGTCCTAGCAGCTTACCCCAATAGCACAGATTGTCTGGGAGTTTTCCAGTGAGCCTATTGACTGAAACTTCGAAACTTTCAAGCTCTGAATACCTCCCAAAGTCTGGATGCAATGTTCCTGACAAATTATTGTTGGACAATTTGAAATTTATGAGATTCGGGAGACGGCCAATGTTTGTTGGAATCTCACCAGAGAAACCGTTATAAGACAAAGCTAACACTGTTAGCTTGGTAAGCTTTCCATAATCTTCTGGTATTGGCCCTGTCAAATAGTTTCCAGAAAGATCAATAGCACTCAAGTTCAATACTTCAACCACTTGAGGTACATCCCCAGACAGTATGTTCTGGAAGAGATGGATTATACTTAAATTCTCCAAGAGAAACAAACCACTTGGGATTGTCCCACTCAAACTATTGATTGCCAAATCCAATTCTTCCAGTGCTTCCATTTCCCCAATTGTTCCAGGGAGTTCTCCAACCAAATACGATTGGCGTATGCATAGAGTCTTCAACTTTTTCAACCTGGTGAAATTGGAAAGCAGGTTCCATGGCACAAGTTTTACATTGTAAGAGAGATTTAGGTCTTCAAGATTGGACAAATTACCTATCTCTGGCGGAACGGAACCATTAAACTCGTTCATGCACAGCTGCAGGTTCCTGAGCTCTTGTAACCGGCCAATAGCCACAGGTATGTCACCAGAAAGGTTGTTACGGGCAAGGTTAAGGTATCGAAGCCGAGGCAGGCTGTCGATATCATCAGGAATCTTGCCAGCAAAGTAGTTTTGAGAGAGGTCCAAGTACTGTAGCTTTGAACAGTTGTAGAAAGCTTTTGGGAACTCTCCAGCAAAGTAGTTGTAGCTGAGATCAATGAGTGTGAGGTTCTTGAGATCACAAATGAAAGGTGGAACTGATAGGGTGATGTTCGTGTGGACCAGAGACAATCCGGTGACGGAGTTGTTTGTGCAGGTGATCTCAGGCCGCCAGGAACAGTGGGAAGTGTTTGATGTTGATGGAATCCAATGGCTGAGGAACGGTGGAGATTGCAAGTATGACTTTATTTTTAGCAGGACAGCTTGTTCTTGGTCTTGCAATGACTGAGAGTTGGCATGGCTGATGAGGAGGGGGAGGAAGAGAAGGAAGCAGAGATAGGTTTGGAGAGAAGATGTTGGGGTGAGTTTAGTCATTTTGTGATGGAGGTTCAGAAGTTGGTCTGTTCCGCGGTTTTAAACACTCTGGTGAAGAGAAGACGTGTGGTTTAGTTTGGTCATATTTGGTAATGGGGAAGGGCAGGTTGAATTTTGGTTTTGAGGACAGTGGATTAATTTCTTTTGAATAGCTTTTTAAGATATCAATCGGACAAAGTCAAACAAATTGCAATGGCTGTTTTTTAAGAGAGAGGTAAAATGCCCGGTGTTATTATTATATTGTATATCAGACGTTTGACACAGTCCAGTTATTTAGACATGAATCATATCAGCTTTCAACTTGAGAGTGTTAGGCTTAACTTTTTGACAAAGTTTTCAACAGAAGGAGGCGAATTGGTAGAACGTCTAATTGGAGACCATAAAATAATCTTATCTCCATATCTATTGGATAGTTTTTATTAATATATATATGTTCCAGAAGAAAATGAAGGTTGACACTCTCACTTTTCTATGTTCCAGAAGATGCACAAAACTTCAATGCATGTGGACTGTTAAGTTAACTAAGGAGCAAAGAAAAGAGATGATTCCTCACACGCATCTAATTACTAATTACGATGTTATGAGAGTTCGAACATGCCTGAGTTGCAAGTCAAAACAGAGATGGGAAAAAGAGATGAAAGGGAGAAGAGAAGGATAATTGCCGCGACCAAGTTGATCAGTTCATACCAGCAGCTGTATGTATTAGTCAATGGGTTAGACTTTCTCAAGTCTATTTACAGAAACTAAGTGATTGAAGGTACGTCCAATCAATCAATTTCACGTGATATGATGATGATGCTGTGATGAGTGTTCACAGATTGAGGAGAATCTGCAGGAGGAGTATTCTTTTTAGACGTCGCGCCTTCTTTGTTTTGGGTGCAATCGTACGCGTCTTTTTTCCATCCCTAAAGTTTTTTTTCTTTGCTTCTTTTATCTTTTCCCTTGCAAAGCAGGTACAGTTACCAGACACAGCCACATTTGACCAAAGAAACCGCGATTCTAATATATTTAGTCCTCATCCACTTAAAATACAGCGATTTGAAAACATTAAAAAGGAAAATAAAGAAAGAAAGGATACGAACAACTGGCTGAGAATTAATTGCCAATCCTCGACTGATTTCATTTAATTTCAATGGAAGATGAAGAAGAAGAAGATGATCCTATTATTATCACACACAACACAATGGTGATGAATAATCGACCAGTCAAAACAGGCTGACAGGCACTGACCCTTTTGATGGAGAAAAACTTCCCTGCACATGATGTCAGGCTCAGCAATTCACAAAAACACTAAAAACGTGTCTAGTAAGATAATTTGAGAATAATAATATGTGAGTTATTTTGCATGTATATTTTTGCTAATTTTTGTTCTCAAAAAATATTTTCAAGAAAGGCTAAAATTATTATAAACAATGAGAAATTTATAATTTGGGAATAATAATGTATAATTAAAAAATTCTAATGTTAGAAAAACCTAGATAATAAAATTCTATTATCTTTAATTTAAAGTAAATATGAAATTGAATAATATATGATGATTTTATCATAAAATTAATATACACTGGTGTAACAAAATAAAATAATGAAATGCAAGTATGACTTTAGTTTTAGCAGAACAGGTTGTTCTTGATCTTGCAATGACTGAGAGTTGGCATGGCTGATGAGGAGGAAGGGGAGGAAGAGAAGGAAGCAGAGATGGGTGTGGAGAGAATATGCTGGGGTTGGTTTAGTCATTTGGTGATGGAGGTTCAGAAGTTGGTTTGTTCCCGCGGCATGAACTCTGGTTTTGAGGACAAGACAAGTAAGTTTTCCAGTTCCAGAAGATGCACAAAATTTCAATTCATGTGGGCTTTGAATGTTGGAGAAAAGTTGAGTGATGATATCAATGGGTTTTGGTGGAAATAGATTTGTATTCTGTCAAATATATGGACTGCATTATTTCTAAAAGCTGATAGCGAAAAGCAGCATGCATGCAGATGCAGTGGCCAACAACCAAGGTGCTGGAAAAAAGAAATGCAAGTCTTTGTTGACCAATCTTGGCCTCTCTTCTACACTACCACTCAAACTTTGTGCGTCACTTGTGAACTTTTGAGTAAAAAACAAAAACCAAGCGTCAAGGACAAGGACCTTGCTGATAACACGTTCGCACGTCAAAAGAAATTTCTTTAGATATTAATTAATTATCAATCAATTATATAATCACGTTCGCACGTCAAAAGAAATAAGAAAAATTATTTTCAAATTGTATGAAGTTTGGTGGTAATTCTTCGATGGACCCCGTCATCTCTATTAATCATAATCTTTTGTCCTGAACATATTAGATTAAGGCCTTATGTATAGTTTAGTCCATGCCTATTCAGTTCTTTAGGAACTAACTTCAACATTTGTGGGCTACAATGTAAATGCAGCCTAAGGAGCCAGCAACAGCTGACATTGTAGCAAGTTCTCCTCGCTAAACCAACATCTTGGCTAGACCAAAATCAGAGTCCAACGAAATGTTACTCAATCGACTTCACGTCTTGATGCACAACTGGTGGCACACAGTAGTGATGCATATAGCAGAGGCCCCGAGCTGCACCCACGGCAATGTGCAACCTCTTAGGCCAGTCCAGCACACGAGGTTGGACCGACCTCGAGAGATTGGATGGCCTGTTTCTCTTGTGCAGCCATCCATCCAGGCTTCGATTCTCCAAGTACTCATAGACAAGAAGTTTTGAATTGTCCTTGGATATACAGCACATCAGCTTCACTATGTTGGCATGTTGAATGGAACTCAATATCTTCACTTCTGCAAGAAATTATTTTTCAAGCTTCTCTTCTAACTTCTTATCTTTCCAAATCTTTTTCACGGCAATAACATCGCCTGTACGATTGACAGGAACACGATAAACTTTTCTTGATCTGCTACTTCCAATTGTATTACTTTCTGTCAATCCTGAGAGAATTTTTGACACTGAAATTCAACCTCTGAGATGAGGTGAGCTCCCAATCAGAATCCGATCCGTTTCTCTTCCAATAACCTCTGACCAAAAGAATGATAAGTGGGTGACCATGTTCATGTCAAAAACAAAAGCCTTGTGAAGGGAACATATGTCAAACTGCAACCTCACACCAAGGACTTTCTTGACATCTCAAACCCTAAAGCCGTTTTGGAGCCACTCTTGTTTAACCTCTGGTGACACTATCATGGTTCCTTATAACGGTACGAAGTATTACATCAACATAATTGAAACAAAGCCCTCCTCTGCAATCAGTATAGTTGATACCGACTGAAAGAAGCCAGCACCATCCACTCGGCCAAAGAAGAGACCACAAGAAGCTGAAGAAGATGAAGAGCCACCTCAAAAGATAGCAAAGTTCAGTCCCTTTACTGGTTCAGCAAGACAATTGGATGGAAAACCGGTCTTGACACAATCCATTGCACCTGCAGTTTCCTCTCCTCCTGTACTCAAGAAACACCAAACGGAGAGTGGAAATGGAACCAATAAGGGTTCTAAGTCATCAGCTTCTGCTTCATTTCAACATTCCGGAAAGCTTGAGTTTGGTTCAAATGTCAACCGGCCCATGAATGAAACCCCAAAAGTTTCCCCAAACAACAGCAGTAGGCAAGAGCCCTCTCACAAGGAAGAAGAGCCAGAGTTGCAAGCATTCACAGGGAAGAAATATACCCTGAAATGGTGAAGTTAAGGCATATCGATCCTTCGTCTAAAACATACGAGAATGGCTATGGTTGAAAGCCTGGATAACAAGTAACACCTAGGGAGGGAGAATTTGTTTGCTTCAGTATTTCCTTGTTCTGATTACCATCAATTATAGCAAATTGCAATTGTCATCTTTTCTGGTCTCTGATTCTTCCTTTTTTTTTCATACATAATTGGTATTTTTTGGCTTGTGAAATAACTGAATGTACGTATTAATTATCTTTCAGTGTAATTCTCAGTCTAGTCTGAAGAAAACTATACTCTTGTGTACATAATTCTCAGTCTAGCCCCTCACTCATTCGTTTTTTAGGGCAAAAGCAGGACTGTACAACGTTTTTCTATTTATGACTTGCTTTGAGGACATGTTAATCACCTAGAATCCCACTAGAAGAGCACTTTTCTTTACCAATTTCAAGTTCTACTTGCGCGTTGCAAAAAAGTTCTGCAAAAACAAACCAACAAATAGTTTTCATTTTGAAGGTTAATCCCTTGATTCCAATCCTTGCATTTCACCATTGATGAACAACTATTTTCAATTAGATTTTAGTCAGTTTAGCAAATAAACACAGCCATAATCCAAAATGAGTATTGAAAAGAAGAATGATGATAAACCCACCATACCGAAAAAGAAAGAAAAAACAAATTTCTTCCACAAAAGAGAGCAATTCTAAAACAAACAAAAACAACCAAACCCGTAACCAAGAGAAGAAAACGAATCATGCAGAAAGTGACAAACTCAGCCAACACAGTTTAGTTTCTTAATTATCCATTTCTCAACATGTATGATCCATGTCAAATCTAGGTCCTGTATAGCCTATAGTAATTCAGCTAAATGCTTAATATCTACATATTTGGCCTTTGACTCTGTTTTCAATGAGCAGACTAGCTGACAGTTGAAGCAACGGAATCCATTAGTGCCTAACAGAGAAAGGGAGGAGGGAAGGAGTCATATAGAACATAATGAGAACATCTAAAAGTCAGTTTAGAAGATAAAAATGGGAATGCAACATTTTTCCTTCAGAAATCAATACCTGGGCTACTTTCACATTGCTGGAGTTGATACTTTATGAACCAAACATATTAACATCTAAAAGGTTTTATTTTTCTTAAACTTTCTCTATCAGTAAAACCCACAAATTTGACACAATATAAGAATTGGTGAAGATTCAACCCCATACCAACTCACATTGATTGCCTTTGCCTCCATAAATTTGATACAACTATGCTCGCAGAGAGTCTTTATTTTGCAGGGGCAGATTCAAGTGAAACATTATTAAGGCGCTCCAGAGCCACAATAAGCGCCTGGGTACCCAAATTGCCTTCCCCATGAGCCTTCAACGACAAGTAAAGCTGCTGAGCCAGAGCCAATCCAGGCAAAGCCAAACCCATGTTCTGGCATTCCTTCAAGCAAATGCCCAAGTCCTTCACAAAGTGGTTCACATAGAATCCGGGCTCGAAATCCCTCTTCAAAATCCTACCTCCATGCAAATCCAGCAACTTTGAACCAGCCGCACCCACTTTGATCGCATTTAAGAACAGACCCACATCGAGACCAGCCTTGTGAGCAAAGACCATGCCCTCCACCAGACCAACCATGGTTGAAGCTATGACTATCTGGTTCGCTAGCTTCGCGAACTGCCCTTTTCCACTGCCACCCATGTAATTAACTTTACCCATGAGAACAAATAAAGGTGCCAGCTTGAGGACGACGTTTTCGTCCCCGCCGGCGAGGATCGCCAGAGTTCCGTTTTTGGCGCCGACGTCGCCGCCAGTGACGGGAGCGTCGACTGAGAAGCAGGATTTAGCGGCGGCGGCCGAGGAAATCTCGACGGCGAGGGAGGGTTCGGAGGTGGTCATGTCCACTAGGATGCCGCCGGGTCGGAGGCCCGAGAGGACCCCGGTCGTGGGGTCCAGGAGGACGGAGCGGACGTCGGAGGGGTAGCCGACGATGGAGAAGACGACGTCGGATTGGGAGGCGACGGCGTTGGGGGAGTGGGCCAGGTGGGCCCCGAGGTCGACGAGGGGCTGGGCCTTGGAGAGGGTGCGGTTGAAGACAGTGAGGGAGTAGCCGGCTTTGAGGAGGTGGGTACACATGGACCGGCCCATAACGCCGGTGCCGATCCACCCGACCCGGGTGCTTGATGGGCTCACGGAGGAGTCGGATGACGTGGCGGTGGCCATCGAACGGCGGAGGCAGAGGCGGGAGAGACCGGTGAAGTGAGAGACTGGGCGAAGGAGTGGAAGCGAAATGTGTTTGACTATTTTGATTGTCATCGCATTATCTCATTTTGTATAAGCGGACGGTGACTTTGCGGTTCTCATTATTTTTCATAGAAAATCAACGGTTGATGTTAGAGCAAGGTGGCGGGTTCTCCAATTAGCCAATAGGCAAAACCAGCCAAAGTTTGGGTTTAGACACAAACCCAATTACCAAATGGGCTTGACCATGGATCTGAAGTTATGCAACCCATCTTCGATTTTTATTTCAAATATGAAAAGTTATTGAAATTTTTTCCAAACTGATAAACCCTGATAATGTGTGAGAAAAGTCCTCCCCTTCTTAAATGTGGCGAAGAGAAAAGGAAAAAAATAGATAAACGAGACACCACCACCTATTCCAAAACCAGAGCTTTAACATTGGAATTGATATGAAGAGTGAATCTTTTGAACTAACTGATTTCACATTAATGTAATGTAAGCATGAAACTGACATTTATCTCCTGATATTGGAACTAGTTCAAAAGCCAGTTTATAATAGAATAATAATGATCTCTAATTTATGCAATTACCAAACAAATTAAAGTCTTAATGATATGTGTTTGTTGTTCTGGAATCTCATATAAATTTGATTATTTTGTTATGATAAAATGAATAGAAAAAAAAAAAAAAAAAAAAAAAAAAAAAAACAAATCACATAAAATGCATGAACATAATATAAGTTAAAAGAAAAATGCATAAATCAAAATACATCATAGAACCCAAGTATAGAGCCCCCGTTATGGGAAAGAAACCTTTAGGTCCCGTTTTATTCATGGAAAATGAGACTTGGGGATGAGAAATCAATTGTTTTCCCATGTTTGGTAAGTCCAAGCATGGGAAATCGTTGTCTGACCCATAGGAAAGCAAGGGGGAAAGTGAAGCTTTCCTCCCAACTTGGGTTTTGTTTTCCCTCATCTTGAGAATGTTTGGGAAAATGAGCCAATATTAAATAACAATTTAGAATTACAATATATCATTAAATGCATTCTTTTTTTTATTTGATTTAATATGGGTATAATTGAAAATTTATACAAACTTTGTTTTCCATTCTTACCCAAAACAATCATGGAAAGGAAATAAAATGATATTTCCCGATTATTTTCCTAGCATTACCAAACGTGGGAAAGAAATCTTCAATTTCTGATCCCTTGAGAAATGAAATGGGAAATGATTTCCTCTTAAATTCGTTTTGTGAACCAAACGGGACCTTAGAAGTTGGAATATTCCATCAAAGCTCTAAATGAGACTTTATCCACCATTTTAGAGCAAGTCCAGCGCGGAAGCCAAAACCAGGCAAAAGGCTGCCCTAGTGAGCCCAAGGAGCTCCAGCACGCAGCAATCAGCCCAGGCAAATGGTGGGTCCCACTAGCCTGGGCAAGCCCAAGGGCTAATCTTGCCTGGGCACCAAACCTCAGACCGCTGATGTCAGCAGCTGATTTTCAATTTTTTTTTATTGTTGGACCCACCAGCCCACATTGCCCAATGATTACAAGCCATGTGGCTTCTCCTGGAGCCTCCGATCAAAAAATCTTGTACAATCCAATGGTTGTCCAATTTTTGGCTAAAAAAAATTGAAAAAAATATCAAAAAAATATCAAAAAAGTCTGGAAATTTTTTTCTATACATACCTACCAATATTATTCACTTTCCACACCAATTTAATTTCAAAATTTTATCCGAAAATGTTATCTTGATTTTTAGGTGAGGATTTTACGATAAATATTAACACTTGGGAATTGAAAATCTTATCCGAAAAGCTTATCAAAATCAATGGTTTAAGTATAAAAAATAAAAAATAAATTTAAGTGAATAGTAATTGCCTTAGACTTGCCCTAGACTTTGCCCTCATGGATGGAACCACAAATGCAAAGGCTGACACTATTCATGTGAATAGTGACAGCTCTTGCCTTAGACTTAGCCCTTGTGGGTAGAAGTGCTCTTAGAGCCTCGTTTAGAGACTTTAATTGGGGATGCCCTAAGTAATGACACTTTCACCAGACCAACCAATGGAATTCATTGCTGTCAGAAAAGAGAGGACGCAATCGCAGAAGAACGCGTGAAGCTGTTCGACCAGTTGATGCCAGCAGCAGGTGGGGTAAAATGAGTAGGTGAATCTCCATTTATGATCTCCAACAAACCATACAAATCCTAGATATTATGAGATGGACTGCTAACTAGTCTTCTATGGTCTTGATTCACAAAAAGGGAAATAAATAAAAACTGCTTTTAACTGGAGAGAGACTGTGTGCGCTCCAAAATTGAGCTCCTGCGCTGCGCCAAAGGTATCTAGTCTGCAACTTCAAGCACATCTCTCTCTCTCTCTCTCTCTCTCTCTCTCTCTCTCTCTCTCGTAGTTTTTGCTTTAAGCGTCGTAAGCTTTTCTTTGATTTTTAGGACGCTTTGTTATACAGCCTTTGCTTTTGCTTGCTGTGTGTTACAAACTTGTTACATTCTTCTTCTCTTCATTTATTTTCCTCAGTTGCTCCATTTAGCTTTTCTTCGTTTTAGGAGGTTTATATTTCATTTATTTCTTTGAGTTTTTTGTTTTTATGTTTTTGGCTACTGAGAAGTTGCTCTCTAGATCTATACGTATAGAGTTATTTTGGGTGAGAAGTGAAGTGTGTCACATGTTGCATGAGACTTAATGATATGTACGTCGTCTAAAGTCATTACATTATTTATTGGTTGAGCTGATTAAGTTGTTGCTTTTTATTTGTTACATATATTGCATATATAGCTAAGCGGCTAAGCTACGTAGTGATCTATGGAGATGATAATGGACATCTTGTTCCTGTGTTTGGGGCTCGTGTTTCTCCGGCTCTGGTGGCGCTACTGGTCAGTGACTGGCGGAGGACGGAGGAATCTGCCCCCGGGGCCGCCAGGGTGGCCAGTGGTGGGAAACCTGATCCAAGTCATCCTCCAGCGTCGGCCCTTCATCTTTGTAGTCCGTGATTTACGTGCAAAATATGGTCCCATCTTCAGCATGCAAATGGGGCAACGCACTCTCATCATCGTCACCAGCTCCGATCTCATCCACGAAGGCCTCGTCCAGAGAGGTCCCGAGTTCGCAAGCCGCCCCGCTGACTCCCCCATCCGCCTCCTCTTCAGCGTCGGCAAGTGCGCCATCAACTCCGCCGAGTACGGCCCTGTCTGGCGCACCTTGCGCCGAAACTTCGTCACCGAGTTGATCAGCCCGGCCAGGATTAGGCAGTGCAGTTGGATCCGAAAATGGGCTATCCACTCCCATATGGACAGACTCAAATCCGAGGCGGCTGCAGACAACAACGGCCGCGTTGTCCACGTCATCAGCAACTGCAGGCTCACCATCTGCAGCATCCTCATATGCTTGTGCTTCGGGGCTAAAATCTCCGAGGAGAAAATCAAAACGATTGAGACCGTTTTAAAGGACGTTATGATGATGACCACACCGAAGCTCCCGGACTTTCTGCCGATCCTCACTCCGTTGTTCCGCCGGCAGGTGAGAGAAGCTAAGGAGCTGAGGAGGAGGCAACTGGAGTGTCTGGTTCCACTCATAAGAAACAGAAAAACATTTGTTCAATCTAATCAAAGTAGTGATGGTAATATGGTGAGCCCCAAGGGGGCTGCGTATATTGACTCCTTGTTTGAGCTGGAGGTGCCTGGAAGAGCTCAACGGTTGGGGGAGGAAGAGCTTGTCACCCTTTGCTCGGAGGTCATCAATGCCGGGACGGATACGAGCGCCACGACGCTGGAGTGGGCTCTGCTCCATTTGGTGATGAACCAAGAAATCCAACAAAAGCTTTACAATGAGATTGTTGACTGTGTAGGGAAGGAGGAGGTGACTGAAAGTGACGTTGAAAAAATGAGCTATCTTTCTGCTGTGGTTAAGGAAACGTTTCGGAGACACCCGCCTAGCCACTTCGTCCTGTCGCACGCGGCGGTGAAGGAGACGGAGCTCGGCGGGTACACCGTCCCGGCGGATGCAAGTGTGGAGTTTTACACTGCATGGGTCACTGAGGATCCGGATCTATGGGAGGATCCGGGGGAGTTCCGACCCGAGAGGTTCTTGGAGGGCGACGGGGTTGACGTGGACGTCACCGGGACCAAAGGAGTGAAGATGGTACCGTTTGGAGCGGGCAGGAGGATATGCCCGGCGTGGACTTTGGGCACTTTGCATGTGAACTTGCTGCTTGCTCGGATGGTGCAGGCTTTCAAATGGTTGCCGGTTCCGGATGCCCCACCCGACCCTACTGAGACATTTGCTTTCACTGTTGTTATGAAGAACCCTCTCAAGGCCATTATTTTGCCTAGGTCATCGTCGTCCATCATCGTCTGATACTTTTTTTATGGTTGGTTTAATCAGTTATTATAGTTATTATTAGTATCTGTGTGGCTTACCACATTTTTATTGCTACATCATTTGTTTTTGTTTTTGTTTTTTTTTCTGTTTTTCGGCTTTAAATTCAGGACGAAGACCATTCAAGACAACCAACAACCATTCTGCATCATCCACCAGCTATAAGAAATAGGGATGATTTCCTTTATGAATTTTGTTTGGTTTTGAAGAGGTTTTGTCTGTAAAATTTATTGCTGTAAGATTTTAGATATAATGCCTTTAATCCAACTCTCAATCAGTTTGAATTCATCGGTCAAGTCAAGTAAATTCAAAGAAAAATATTGTAGTGTACCAAGCTAAACATTAATTACCCTTTTTCTCTTGCATATTTCTAATTTAGGAATATATTTGAAAAACTAAACTAAATTTGTTTTTATTCTAACAAATTAAACATGGGAAAGAAAAGTAAAATGATCTCATCACAAATATATATATATATATATATATATATCGTCGTCTTCTCCATTCACGCTAGCTGGACCTGAAACCTTCTCCAACTAAGTGAAGACATTAATCCACGAGAACAAATGCTAGTTGCTAAATAAACCTCCAAAATAATCAAACAATAAATCAGAAAGGAAAATACTTCACTCATTCTCCTCTAAATAAGAGCTCCTACATTTCTATCAATGACAATATGACATATGTGTAGAAATTTATCTTTTTATATTTTTAATGAATTATTTTTTGGGAGTTTCACTAAAACACCCAAAATGGGGGTTGAAATTATAAAAAAACCCAATACCCAAAACACTTTATAAACACACCCAAAATTCATCATTACACACACTCAAAACCCATTTATAAACACACCCAAAAAATATACAATTGTTGATTTTGGGTGTGTTTCTATGTTTAAATAGTGCTTGAATTTTTTTATAAATACATGTCTAGAATTGAGTTTATTTATAAATTTGTATTATTTTTTCACGTATGTCAAACCATGATTTGTAGGGTCTTCTTCGGAGAAGGCAAGTAGTATCCAATCAAAGAAGGTATGAAGAAGCATGGAAAGGGTATTTCAGTCACTTACCTCAAACCTAAGTCAGTCGGGTCGGCACACGGGTTGGTTCAGCAACGACGTCGTTAAAAGAATAGAGTATCTTATCTTCCAAGGTTGTCGTTTTAACCTCCCCGCCATCGGCAGTCGGTCTAATGCTCATTCATCTTCTTCAATAAGCTTCGGAGTGGAGCAGCTCAGCGATACTATGAGGCATGGACTGTCGATAAGGTACACAGAGAATCAAAAGCCCTCTACTTTCTTCAGATATTGCTTTTGATTAAAGTTTTGTTGTTTCTCTGCATCCTGTTTTATGCCTTCGAATTCAGTTTTCTGATTTTGAAGTTAAGTGAATACAATAATGTCCACAAATTTAACAAGGGGCCAAGCATTTCCCTTGGCTTTGAGGATTTGTTCAAGACCCAGATGCTCTAAACCATTCAACACCTCAAAGCCCCAATCTTTACAAATTGGTTCTCTTCCAAAACCCCCACTAAACCTTACTTGGGGGAAGCTCACTAAACCCTCATGTGGGTCTGGTCAGAAAATGTATGGGATGTCCCATTTGGTTCATTTTTCAACCGATTCCTGTTGTAAGATCCTAGAAAGTGGCGTTCTTGCAAAACCCAGAAGCGTCTCTAGCGGATTCAGGCTTAAAAATGCCACACAGAATTGGCTTTTGATAAGAGGTAGAGCCTTTTCGAGTTGGTCTGGTCAGAAAGTTAATGGAGGGAGTAGTGTGGCAAGAGCTGGTAAAAGACTCCCGTGGTTGCCGGCAAACAAAACCAAGGGAGCAAAAGGATTGGAGAAAGCAACTACTGCTAAGACATCTATTTCTTCTTGGGAGGAATCTGCTAAGAGGTTAGAGGAAGTTAATGATAATGCTTCTTGGGGAGAATCAGCAAGGAGCTTGGATGGAGACAGTAGTAAGTCCTCTTGGGACAAATCAGCAAAGAGGTTAGAGGAAGAACCAAAGTTGAAAGCTGGTCGTTCTTCTTGGGAGGTGTCAGCGGAAACTTATGTTAGGAGAAGTGGCCCATCAGAATGGGGGAGAAAAGAAAGTAGAACTGGAATGGTAAGTATGGCACATGACCGGAAAAGTGATTACCGTGGGAGGGAGAAAAGATTGGAGGAAGCCGAGACAGAAGGAGATGAAAAAGAAGAAGAAATGGAGGCTGTTGATGATCCAAGGTGGGATCGTATTCAAAACAAGTTCAGGGGAATGGAAGATGTTAAATCTGGACGTGAGAGACCTGAGTTTCGAAGGTGGAATAGGCAGGATGATTGGGGTAAGAAGACATGGAAAGAGGCTACAGAATCGTCTGTGCCTAGGATGATTGGCCAAGGTGTTTATGGTGTTGGTCCAGTTTTGGCTGCTTTGTCCGCTGGACGAAGAGAATTTTATGCATTGTATATTCAAGAAGGGTTGGATTTGAGCAAAAATAATAGGAAGAAGAAGGACAAGAAGGGATTTGAGAGAATTTTAATGATGGCTGATAAGCTTGGATTAAGCGTAAAGGATGTGTCCAAGCATGATCTTAATATGGCTACTGATAATCGACCTCATCAGGGTCTGGTGCTAGATGCTTCTCCATTGGAGATGGTAAAAATTAAGGAATTGGACCCTGTTTCAGTTGAGGAAGATAAGTGTTCTCTTTGGGTTGCTTTGGATGAGGTTACAGATCCTCAGAATTTGGGGGCAATCATCAGGTCTTCTTACTTCTTTGGAGCTTCAGGGGTGGTGTTATGTGCCAAGAATTCAGCCCCGCTTAGTGGTGTTGTGAGCAAAGCAAGTGCAGGCTCACTTGAGCTAATGGAGTTGAGATACTGCAAGAATATGATGCAGTTCCTAACATCCTCGGCTGAAAATGGTTGGCGAGTTCTTGGAGGTTCTGTTTCTTCCAGAGCTATACCTTTGAACGAGGTTGTGCCTAGTGTGCCAACAATTCTTGTTCTGGGCAGTGAGGGCACCGGGTTGAGGCCTTTGGTCGAAAAATCTTGCACCGATTTGATTAGAATCCCGGGAAATATTCCTGTGGATGTAAGTGCTGGTGGAGCTGATGATATTGAAACTGGGGAAGTGAGTCATGGGTGCTCAGCGGAAGAGTTCCGATCATTTTTGGCTGTGGAGAGCTTAAATGTCAGCGTTGCAGCTGGTGTGCTTCTTCATCACTTAACGGGAAACAATAACAAGAAAGATGGTCATGTCGTTAATCAGCAGACTGGCGAACTTGAGTGAGATTCTGTAGACACTTCACTGATTTTGTTGCCCCACATTTTTTCATTTAAAGTAGTCTATTAAAATAGGATAATGCCCTTTCATCATAAACATTGTAAGCTATATTAGCACTTTTTAGAGCTTTATCTAAAATAGGGAGTAGGTTTACAATTTTGGTTTTCATTAAATTGTTCTCATCACAGTTCGTACGACTGATATATGCGGATGCTATTACTAGTGTTTGGAAGTAAACTTAGAGACAGCAACTAATCATTGTCGATGCTGTGTTATGAAACTGCTGCTGTCATCTTTCCTGCAACTTACCATTATAAAAAAAACAAGTCTATTTTCCTCTTATTTGTGAGCTTGGTATTCTCATGTTAATTTAAGATTATATGGAAGTATGGTTTGCTTTGCATTGCTGATTGCAGTATTGATAGCTAAGTGTAGGCTCTACATATCAAAAAAATGTGTTTTTTTAATACAAGCGATGGTGGGAAGGGGACTCGAATTGGGTACAAGGTGACATGCTCATTGGCCTAGCCAACTTGAATGCAAAGGTGCGGAATGCCTATTTTTCTTTGATTCTTCGTGCATTTCATTTTTCTTTGATCTTTGCCCATCCTTGGCATTGGCAAAGCCAATTTGAATTCTTCCTTTTTCAAAGTCATTTTCTGAGGCTTCATTGTTATATGATGCGTGTGATAAAGGAACTGCACTTTCCACGTCATTCATTATCTAAGAAAATAAAATAAAAAATTGTTCCTTCCCACGTTAATTATATATCCATCAACATGGTCAATCGGCTCCAAAGCTGGCAACACTGTTTATTTATAGGTCCCTCTCCCAGCTGCCTTTCCTTAGCATAAGAAGGTAACCAGCCCATTGACAGCCAGTTTTTATACCACCGGCTCCACAATTTCCACCCTCTTAATAATTAACCTCGATATGCAAGGGACTTGTTGCTTAAGTAGTTAAGAGCAGTTGCTCATGCACCTGAAATTCTGTATTCAAATTCCCCCTCCTCCTTCAACAACGCTTGTATCAAAAGAATAATAATTAACCTCAATATTAAGTGGCAATGTCAAATAGAAGAAGTGAAAGCAGGTGATTTGATTTGAAGCTGAATTTTATATATGTATGTATGCGGTCCTTATTTATATGTGGAAGGTTGGTATCAGACGTTGTCACTCATCCATCCCTGGATTTTGCTCCGAAAGTCAACCACTCATCCATCCCTGGTTGCTGAAGAAGATGCACGAGAAACATAACTTTTATATGATGAAGTTGTAATTGTAAGTCGTAACCCACCATCACCATGTGACCACGAGATGATGGTGTTACCCAACAATCATATGCCGTTTGTTTTGTGGTCCCATAAAAATGAAATCTGCTCTGATCAATAATTAAGTTGCTATATAATTTATAAACAATATAATTCATCAGATATGCATTTATTCAAATGCAAATGGAATATTCTTGTAGCATATTTTTTTCTGGTCGAAATTCTTGTAGTATCTTACGCATCTTGTCATGGCCAGGTACATTCTTTTGAGTCACGGCACTTTTCTAATTTCTTTTACTTGTGGGGATCCACTAGTTCAAAACTAAATGAAACAAATTTGGAATCTCCTCTCGTTGGATAAAGGACTTATAGTTCAAGTGGTTAAAGAACATTACTGTTACACCTGATGTCATAAATTTGATAGCTAAGTTTTCTATCTACTGCATTAACGGGCGACATAATGAAGTTAATTTTTTCCCGCAACCAAACCAAATTAATTACTATTAACTAGCCATACTTTAGTGGTAGATACCTCCACTTGATGATGTCTTATGTACGAATTATGTAGATGGAGAACCGTACATATGAAACAAAATCAATTACGAAATTTCCTTCTTTTTATCTCTGAATTTCTCCGCAAGCAAACAAGGGAAGTAAGAAAACATAGATTGAGGCGTGGAATTAGCAAACAAATGAGAGTGAAGTCTAATAAGGATATGTGACGCAAAACAGTGTTCATTAAAATGACAGCGCATTGGAGATTCGGATCATAAAGGAAGCATCTTCCTTCGTTGACACGATGACACCTCAGCCGCCCTTTTTTCTCAGTTTCTGACTGGGAAATTGAAATTGAAATTGAAATTGAAATGGTTAATAGATACCTATAAATAAGAACATGTGCATTATTGTAACGGTCTCTCTTCAGACTTTTGAGTCTTTTCGCAACCTTAAAAAAGGAAAACGCCAGCAAAAGACCACAAGGGATTTTGCTGTGCCTGTGTGTTGTGTGGTCAATGAGGCCCAGCCAGCCAACCTCCAGAGAGACCCAATTAGCCTCCTTCCCTGTCTTCGAAATATAAAATTACGCGCTCTCTCTCACTCTAACCCCTTTTCCCTCACAGACTCTCTCTCTCTCTCCGTTGCGTTTATCGACGCTGTTCGACTTTATCGGCCATGGCGATCTGAGAGAATGTTTGCGGCTTCTCTCCTCGCCATCTGTGTCTCTTTCCTCTAACTCTATCGAGCAAAACGCACGCAACTCTCTGAGAGAGAGAGAGACTTGCATACATTACAGAGAGTCATAAATATATATATATATGCATATCTAGACAATTGTACGAGCATAATGTCCACATTGGATCCTGTCGATTCGTTCCTCTTCTCTCTCAGCAGAGCCTTTTGCAGTCCGCTAGCAGTTTTTGTCCAGATCCAGGTTTCTTTCTCTCTTCTCTTTTTTCTTTTTTTTTTTTTTTTTTTTTTTTTTTTTGTTTGTTTTGATTTTTTTCGTCCGTTCAGATCCCGGTCCTTTTGGTTGCCGAGAAATTTCGGCGGAAAGTTTATTTCTTTGTGTTTATTTCTCTTTGGTGTCGCTAGTGGGCTAAATTGCCTGGCACAATTGAAATTCGGGTCCTGAAATTGCCAAATCCTCCGATTCGATTTTTGAATTTTGTTTATTTTAGTTTATGGCGGCATTTATTTATTTATTATTATTATTACAGACGATTAAGCTTCCAGTTTTATGAATTTGGAGTAATTTTCGATTGCTTTGTGAAATCAGTATTAGTTGCATAGGTGACGGAGAAGTGAGATATCCAAAAAATGAGTCAAAAGCTAAAAACTAAACTGATTTTAATGATTTTTGTGTTTAGAGTCGACTATGTTACTACTAGATTTCTCAATAGCTTAGGTGATTATGTATTTTATTTTCTAATTGAAATATGACTTTCCCTTTAGGAAGTTCCAATTAGACTCTTTTGGGCTCTGAAATTTGGAAGTTCAATATCATTACAATATTTAGACTAAAATAGTTAGCTATAGTTCCTTTTGGTGGGTTATACTTACACATATCTAATTTCTTTATTGGTGCTGTAGGGATGTCTAATCTGTTTGCTACTTGCTTTCGGATGGGCTTGTGCAGCTTATGTCAGGTACTTGAATGAATATTTGACTTCAGTTTAGTATCAACCACTGGCATGACCTCTATGCTCATTTAATGTTAAACTGCCAATCTGTGCTTGATGATCAACGTTTTTCGTTTTCGTTCTGTTTCCCTTATCAGGAATAGAGAGATTAAAAGGATGAAAGATAGTATGCAACGTGGAAATAGCTTTGCTTTCCTTTGCCATGATATCACTGAACTTGAGCACTCAAATCAGCTCAAACGGCCAAGCGTATCAGTTGTTATGCCTTTAAAGGGATTTGGAGAACACAATTTACACAATTGGAGAAGCCAGGTCAGATTAATGCATTTCTCTGCTCCTGTAAATAGATAGTGTTCTTCATCAATATTTTTTTACTTATAAAGCTAAGTTTACTAGGCATGGTATCCATTAGTATTTTTGTTTATAGATTTGTAGTTTTGCACACATAGATCAATCTTCTGATAGGGATGCTAGAGTCTTCTTTGCTTTAGAGTGTGGGCTGGTTTGTGAGTTTATATTCTTGTTTAGGAACAAGAAAGGATTTGAATCCAGTTACAATGTGTTGGACACTTTCTGAATGGTTAGGCTATCATGTGAAGTGTTCAAGATTTTAGTTAAAGATGGTGGCTAGCAGAAATCCTTGTGCTAGCTGATTTTTAATATGTTAAATTTGTATTCAGGGTTTTCCCTTCAATATGGTTTTGACTGTTCATGGTTTCGTTTTGTTAATGAACACAGATCACTTCTCTCTATGGTGGTCCCTTAGAATTTCTTTTTATCGTGGAAAGTACAGACGACCCTGCTTACCGTGCAGTATCTATGTTACTATCTGAGCTTAAGGTATAATAACTCACAGAAATCATCCGTTTTTTTTAAATATAAATTAACTTAATGTTCAGAAGAAGAAAAAAAGTATATCCAGGACAAAATGATATAACATATGCTTGGAGGCAAAACTTTATCCCTTCTGGATATTTTTTGAAAGTGCTTTTTGTTGAAACACAACATTGTTACAAATATCCTTGTGCTTACATATGTGCCTATGTGATCTATTTTAACTGCTTACTTGTTTACCATGATTCCCTTACAGGATGAGGTTGATGCTAAGGTTGTTGTAGCTGGCCTTTCAACAACCTGTAGTCAGAAAATTCACAACCAATTGGTATGTATCTGGTAATGCCAGCTTTCCTACTATGCTAGTGCAATAGCAAGGTCTTACGCAATTTGCATTTTATTTTATCATACAATCCTGTGTCTATAATTGTTCTCTATGCGGAGATGCTTTTCTTCATGGAATACAGGAATATAAATTTGTTACTCAGTGTTAATAGTGTAGGGTTATATGTCTAGACTATATAATGCATCAGACTGATTGTTTAATAACATTTCCTTTGAGGATTCATGTAGAAGGCAAAGGAAAGCTGCACTTACAATTAGATCTCGAAATCTGAGCTTGAGACTTATTGCCCATTCTTGTTTAAATTTCCTGCATACATGGTTTGAACTTTGAAGCATGTGATTCTCTAGTGACTAATCATGTCAGTTACTAGATCGTAATGTCCTTTCGCAGGTTGGAGTGGAGAAAATGCACAAAGACAGCAAGTATGTATTATTTTTGGATGATGATGTCAGGCTTCACCCTGGGTCAATTGGAGCCCTAACAGCTGAGATGGAGAAAAATCCTGACGTATGATTTTCTTTTTCTTTTTTCTGACACCATATTCAGCCTATCTTATACTTCTGTGTTTTGTTAACTGTGGGTTCAGTTATGGTGTTAATTCTGTTTGAAATGACGTGCAGATATTTATCCAAACTGGATACCCTCTTGATTTGCCATCGGGAAGCTTAGGGAGTTACTGCATTTATGAATATCATATGGTACCTACTTGTCCCTCAGAATTTGTCGTATACACGTATCTGTAATTTAATGTTAGTACTAGTGTACATAATTTATGACCAACAAATGAACCAATGTTTTTACTTCTCTTGTAGTCTTAGTTCATGTTTTCTCTTGAAATTTTAGAGGCCAAGTGATTGTGTGAGAACTTTGTTTACTAATGCTTATACAATTAATCTTCTGTACATGTGATGGCATCTGTGTGTATGCAGTAGGGTTAGATAAACGTGACATTTAGTAGTTATTTATTGTATTTTATCTTAAGCTTCCCACACTATATATCTTCATTGTAGTCTGACTCCTAGTTATCTGGAATTTGTTTTGTCTGCAGCCTTGCTCAATGGGCTTTGCTACTGGTGGAAGGACATTCTTTCTGTGGGGAGGGTGCATGATGGTAAGTAGCAGTTACCTTCTTGAAGTCCTGTGTGCACTATAAATCAACATGCTGTTTTAATGCTTTAAATTGTTTGCAGATGCATGCAGATGACTTTAGACTTGATCGCTATGGCGTGGTCACAGGACTTAAAAATGGTGGTTACTCGGATGATATGACTCTTGCAGCTATTGCCGGTAATATACTCATTGATGTTTTCTATGCCGCTGATCTTGTCAGATTACATTGTACCATGTTCTCCTGGGATTTGGTCATTCTTTAAGTTGAAACCTTAGGTTTTTGATACTGTCATTACCTTCATCAAAGGCTTTCTCCATGATTTGGTTCAGTATGGTCCAAAGTGGCTATTTATTATTGCTGATGTTATTGACCTTTTCCAGGAGCTCATAAGAGGCTGATCACGTCACCCCCAGTCGCCGTGTTTCCTCATCCACTTGCAAGTGATCTTAGTTTTTCAAGGTTTGTAATGCACACTTGTTCAATTCCAAAAATGTCATATTTCATACTTACTTTGGACTTGTAATGTAGGTATTGGAATTACTTGAGGAAGCAGACATTTGTATTAGAATCATATACAACCAAAGTTAACTGGATAATGAACCGTGCATTGTTTACCACCCACTGCTATCTCTCGTGGGGATTTGTAACACCATACTTCATGGCCATTGTTCATATCACCGCAGCCCTGAGAATGTATATTAAGGGGTATTCAATCGAGGAAACAACCTTCACTTTTGGTGGTGAGCACTCTAGTTTTCCTTATTAGGTAGGTTAGTGGCATTGATTTAAACCATACTTATGCAGAAAATCAGTATGCAAGATAAAGTTTGATTCTCTCTCTATTTATCCATCTATCTATCTATCTGGAATTAGAAATTCAAGGTGGACATTTGCACCATTAATTTGAAACTTATTTATTTGAAGTTTTAACCATTCATCCACCCTTTCCCAGGATTGAAACTGGTAAGCTGCCTGGCTGCATGCACATTGATCGAACTTCTTTCAATGTGGAACTTGACCAGGATAGAAGTTCATCTATGCAACATGTTATCACCAGAGGCACCTAAACTCTCACTTGCTTCTTACAACTGGGGACTTGTAAGTATCTCTCTATATACAGTGGAAGGACTCTGAATTTCATTATGGATGTTCGTATGTCTTGAATTCCGTTTATTATTGTATTCTATCACCATTTAACTCCAGTACTCTAATATGCATGCACTGGTTTTGGATTGGGCAGGTATTTATTGCAATTCTAGTAGATAATTTTTTATACCCCATCTCTGCCTTCCGTTCACATTTCACCCAGTCAATAAATTGGTCTGGCATTCGATATCACTTAAAGGATGGGAAGATATTCAAGGTATGCTGGCTAAGACCTTTCTTAACTTTAAGAACTTCAGTTTTTTCCCATATATAAAGCAAAAAACTATAAGACATTGTATTTTCTGAATGATTTTTTATATATTTCCACTGAAGATTGAACGAAGCAAGGATATGGGTCCAGTATATACTGATTTGGGAGGAAAGCATTTAGGAAAGAAAGGAGCTCCTCCAAAATTGTCATTCCTCAGCTCTTTGGCCAGAAGTTTGGCACAATGGCGTCAGCCCAAGAAATATGATAGCTAGTAGTAAAGTAACGTGTTTGAAGAAACATATCTTTTGATCAGTTTGCCCAGCTTTCAAGATTGGATGGGAGACGGAGAATGTTAGAAGAAAAATTTGTTGGGGTTAGATTGGTTGGCCATTCAATTATTGATTTTTTTAAGTGCTCTAGAAATTTTAGTCTCATTTTTTTAAACCCCATTCAATCCATTTTATTCTTCAGCCTCAACCCCCACCCTGTCTCGGTTGATTGATTTGTAATTTGCACTCGTTTTCTTTTTTAGTTATGTAACTTAAATTCTTATACAGCTGAGATTCAAATGATAGCCAGTAGAGATTTGATTTCATGTGCTTATGCTTTTACGTGTAATCCCATCTTGGTCAGTGATTCTATTCAGTTGGCATGTAAACTGTAAAAATTAACTAGATATTACTAAAACGTATGTCTGCACCGTGCCCTTTCAATTTAGGCAGCAGTTTAATGGAAAGCTTCTCACTGTTAGGACTACTATGAAACAAATCCATTAACAGGTGATAAATGCAATACTGAACCCAACTGGAAAATGTGTGTATACAGAAAAAATACTGCAATTAAGACAAAATTCAAATAGAAGAATAGATCTCGAAGCACATTATCTCACTGATTATATAGAATTACACTCTAAATGGTCACAGCTTCAGATCACCGATATAAAAGTCGTTAATCATGTCAAACACTCGGGTAGCATGCTGCGGCCTACCATATGAAAAGTAAAGACAACATGAAAATGTCAGCAACATCCCTGCCATAACTTCGCAAATGCAAAGATATGTGCTAATGTAAACATAAGTAAATGATTAGGAAGATAAAAGGAAGAACAAGCAAATTTTAGTTTTTGACAGAGTTCATGAGAACAAGAATTCCCAGCTCTCCTGTTTCAGAACTATGTATGTAAGTTACAGATCAAGTAATTATTATCACACCATTGGAGATGCCAATAAACAACATAATTTTGAACAAAGAAAGAATACAACACATTAGCCAGCATGAGAGATGTCAAAGTAGGGGTTCATTTTCCACGTTTGTAGTGCCATTCTAAGAGAAAAACCATTACATCAATTGCCAGTATCTTGTCTGTATTTTATTTTCCTCACAGCCAGTTCAAGGCCTCACAAGAGGGTTGACGAGATACTAAGTTAAAACCTTTTGTCTTAAACCCAAGTAGATGGGGGACAAAGGCTTCACAGAATATTTTTCAGTCACATACGTTAACCCAGCCAGTGAAAAAATTGAAAAGATCAGTTGGTGAGACTTCACCATAATTTTTTTGGAATGGATGGAGAAAACATGCTTATTATTATATCCAAACATCTAATGACAAGGAAAACAAGCAATACTTACCCGAAAAACCCTTCAGTTGAGTCATCCCCGGCATGATCTAAGATGGCATCACCACCTGGGTGCTCCTCTACATATGAGGTAACATCATATACCTATTTTTTGTTTTTGTTTACACAAGGAATATGCAAGTGTTAATATACAAGAAACACAAGAGACCCAAGGAAATGAAAAATCGTTATGTTACCTTGTCTTTGATAATTACCCAACAATCTGTTCTCTTATTATGCAAAGAGACTTCAGCTTTAGTGTACACTCTGGCTGGCTAAAGAAAACAGGTCATATGAAAAGAAAAAAGAAGCAGCAAAGTCAATAAGCATGTCTGACAATGAAGATAATACAAATATTTTCTTTGGGTGTTATTAAGAAATACACTTACCTTATCATATGTAACATTTGAATCAACTTTTTTTGCATGCCCTGCATTCAGAAAGATTTTCTTTTTTTACAACTCAAACTTGAAGAAGATATATTTATCAAGATTCAAGCTTTTAGTCTAGTAAGACCTTTTTATTTTTATTTTTCGAGAAAGACAAAAAAGGAAATACCATATTTTGGGCCTCGTGGGATCAAGATGAAAGCTACCAGAAGAATAACCACAACCAGTGCGACCGCAGCTATCATCATATCTCAAGCTGAGCTCCTCAGACTGCTGAATCAGAATTCTAAAACCAACAAATGAACAGATCAGAAATGTGGTAAAACTTCACACAAGCTCAAGCTCCTTGCACAATCGAATCCAATGAATGCTAGAAAACAAGTACATAAACATACAAGGATAAGGCAGGCATTGTTTGGGTTTTCACTTTTGTAACCCAGCAGTTGACTAACTTTCTAAGAAGAGCATCAAGTGATCTCAGAAAAACAACTGAGTGTGTGGGTCATGAAAATGTGTTTAGAATTTTCAGCGGTTTTAAAGTTTCTATCTTTTCTAATCCGACAAGCAATTAGTAAATAGAAGGATGAAGATGAAGAGAGAAACCTGCAGATTTAAGGAGTGGATTTTCCGGCGATGGTGGACTGAGAGATTGAAAGGCGGACAAGCCCTCAGAGATCTTTAGAGGGAGAATGCCTATGACTCGGACTCTCTCCTTCGTGCTGAGATAGTGTGGCCCGTAGATGATAGTGGTACACAATGGGCCTGGAGCAGGTGGCCCAATTGTAGTTCTGCAATATTTGGACATAGGTATGGACCATACTAATTAGATTACATTAATAAGGCATGGAAATGCTATAATGAGGGCTTAAAGTGAGGAGGTTATTTGAGGAGGTCAAATCTCACCATCAACAAATGTAAAGAAATCATGGGACTTAAATATTTTAAATGTTTTGACGGTCGGATCGGTCTCCTCAAATAACCTCCTCACTTTAACTCTTCATTGTAGAAGCTCTCTAATAAGGCATGTGCAGATTAGGATTGACGAAAGTAGTGTGTTCGACTTCTTAACCCAAGTTCAATTCGGGATCAATTCCTCTCCCGTACATTAGAGTAGTTTGAAAGTCGCTTTGTCCAAAAAAGAAAAAGAAAAAAAGATTGCTTTAAGGCCCAGTGTATAAACCCATTAGCATAACAACCCAACACTGTACCATGGGGTTCTAGGACGAATGAGGCTGAAATCGGGTTCACACTTCAAACTTGAAACTCGTCTGCAAGGTTTGTCTGTCCTTTGCCGACTATCTTGCTTCAATCAAATTATTATGAAGACAGTTGTCCCGCTCTAACAAATTTTCCTCCACCGAAAGCCACATTATCTTAACACAAAGTACTTCACGGAATAGAATAAAGTTGCAAACGGGGAATCAATTCCAATACAACTTTTTTTCCTTGAAAAACAAACACAAAAACAGTTTCCTTCTCAGCAAAGAAAGAAAGTGACCACAGCAAAACATGGGTTGCTTCAGTTCTCGCAGTTCCACATCCAAAACCTCATCTCCCATAGAACCACCACCCTATCAAATTCAAAATCAACATCAAAATGCTGCTCAGCAATACCAAGAACAAAATCTCCAACAACAAGTCCTCCTGCAAATCCCAGGATGTAGAGTTCACCTCATGGATGAAGGAGAAAGTATAGAACTTGCAAACGGTGAGTTCATCCTTGAGAACATCTTGGACGAGAATATTTCTCTGGCCACCATAATCAAAGTTGGTGATGAACTTCAGTGGCCCCTGACAAAAGATGAGCCTGTTGTAAAGCTTGATGCTTTGCACTATCTCTTCTCTTTGCCCATGCATGGTGGTGATCCTCTGAGCTATGGTGTCACTTTTCCAGCGCAGTATGAAAGCAATTTGGGCTTTCTGGATTCGTTTTTGAAGGAGCACTCTTGCTTTAGTGGCTTGAGCACATCCACCAAAACTAACAAAGGTGTTGATTGGAAGGAGTATGCTCCAAGAATGGATGACTACAATAATGTGTTGGCAAAAGCAATTGCAGGAGGGACTGGCCAGATTGTCAAGGGGATCTTCATGTGTAGCAATGGTTACACCAATCAGGTCTGTTTTTGCCCTTAAAACCCTAGAGCATATATTAGTACTAATCATAACATAACAACAACAAAAAAGATTATTTCAAGATTTTTATATATAATTTTCTTCTGAAATGTATCATCAATCAATCAGGTCTGTTTTCAGTTCATGTTTCTACAATTAGTCAAGTAGTTATATGGTAAGGTGGAGTAAGGTATAATCAAATGAACACCCTCTGGGTTCATTTCTTGGAAACGTCTAACAATTATTTGAATGTTCATGGGAGATGAAAACAGCTTCAAAAGGGAGGGGAAGTGACATTGGCTCGTCCTGCTGAGGAGAAAAGTTATGTCAAAGAACAAGGAAGTAATAGCAGCAAAAATTCTGGTGCCAAAAAGAAGAGTGAAATCAACAAGAGCTTGAAACGGTAGCCCTCCAATTAAACACGTTTTCTTATAACACATTATGTGATCATGAAAGGGTTTTTCCTCAAGTCAACATATTTTTTTGTTGCTAATTCAGCGTGAGAAAGTTGTCAATGATGACTTCAAAGCTCAGCAAATCTATGCTTGATGGGGTTGGCATTGCGACCGGATCAGTGATGAGACCTGTGGTTAAATCCCAGGCAGGGAAGGCATTCTTTGCCATGGTTCCAGGACAGGTCCTCTTGGCTTCCCTTGATGCCGTCAGTAAGTTGATCAAACTCATATTACATACTTTACATTGTCAAGATCACAACAATATTTACATATTAAAATGGTCCATCCTACAAAACTGCAGATAAGATTTTGGATGCAGCTGAAGTTGCAGAGAAGCAAGCTCTTTCTGCTACCTCTGGTGCTGCTACTAGAATGGTCAGCAACAGGTAATGATTAATGGCAAAGATAGATATATACACAATTGAAGGGTCTTGAAGATTATTGTTGAAGTTTGGTATATTTGACTTGGATTTTGGTATTAGGTTTGGGGAAAGTGCAGGGGAGGCAACTGAGCATGTGTTTGCAACAGCAGGGCATTGTGCAAACACTGCTTGGAACATCTTCAAAATAAGAAAGGCCATCAATCCAGCATCATCTGTCTCTACAGGAGTATTGAAGAATACTGCCAAAAGCAGAAGCAGAAGTTCTTAAAAGCCAATTTGAGATTTATTACTCGTCATTCACTGGAGGTTGTGGTAAAAATGTGTAAAAGAAAATTCCTCTATAGATTGTTGGTCCTAATCTTGAGTCTTCACAACCACTGTGTAGAGGTGTAAACTTTATTGGGGTGTGTGAATTTCTCATCAAGTTAAAACTTTCTTCTTCCTTCTTTTTTTAGTATAAGCAATAGTTAATGGGGTTCGAACCGAAGACGTATGGTTTGCAAATCAAGGTTTTCTCTCACACACGCAAATGATTTATTCTCCCTCTATTTTTTGTTGTTGTTGAATGTGTTGGGTTATGAATTTATTGAGCTGTGAGCTAAATTAACTTATAAAAAGTTAATGGGCTGGGAGGGAACTAGCCTTACAGCCGGAGGTGGGCTCCTTAGAGGATTTTTCCAAACTTCCCTAATTTTGGGGTAGGGCTGAAATTCAATAACTATCCTTTACTAATCATGGTTTAAAAAAAAACATGAAAGAAAATAGGTATTTTCTTTATTTTAGTGATTCTTTATCCAATTTGAGAACCTTTTTACTGTTCTTTTAGTCAGAGACACAATTGTACTTGATTACTAGTCATGGTAAAAAAACATAAACGACCAGACTCGTGCAAACTGGCATTATGTACATCATCCTGCAACTAACGTACGACACGACACCGTATTTAGGTTGAGAAAAGTAAAAGTAAAACAACCTATTGAATTCCCACTTTCCACTTTCGGGAGCCGCAACTTGTAACCCTGTAACTCGCAACCGCCGCTGTTTCGACAAAAATAAAAAACCCAGTTTCCAACAGAACACTCCCAAGTTTCTTTCTTTTTCTTTTTTTTTATATTAATTATTTCAATTTTTTTAGTGAAAAGAAAGAGTCGAAAGTTTCAGAGTTCAATGGAAGACCACGACGCGAAGCAGCTGAGCATATACAGGGCGGCGAGGACGATAAAGCGGAGGGAAAACACCCTCTACAACGCCCTTAAATCCATCTACGACGACTCCATCTTTGTCGGCGAAATCTCGCAGCTTTGGCCCGACCTCCCTCTTCTCGCTAATCTTCGATGTGGCCTCTGGTACTCTTCCAAGTTCCACTCTACTTGCTACTTCAAATCCACTGACGGCCACAACAATAACTGGTCCTTCAACACCTCTCGCCTCAACCTCCATGTCGCTCAACTTGCAGGTACAACATACGACTGTCATGTTTATATGTTTGCTTAACTTTCTCTTCTCTCTGGTTTTTTTTTGTTTGTTTGTCTGTTTGTTTTGATTTTGGGTTTTTGTTGTTGAATTGGGTAGGACAGAAAGGAGGGTGCTTTATTGTGGATGCAACTCGGAGAGGGAAGAGGTTTCCAGATAGCATGTCGAAGACGATACCCATTTGGACCTGCGTTTTGAACCGATCTATTTCTAACCATTTGAATAAAATGCGTCAATCTGCTCAGTTCAATGATGGGGTGAGTTGAAAACCAAAAAACAGAAGAAAACAGAAAGAAAGAATCCAACTTTACTGTTGTTTGCAACTCTGGTTGCTCTGTGAAGCCAGAGTTTGATATGTTTTCACAAAATTTCAATCTTATACTAATTGGATTGAAGTATGATGAATTGGGTCAGTTTGCTCAGTTTCTTTGAGCAATTCTGATATATAACTTATATATTCGAATGTATCATTATTGCCGAAGTTGTATACATATGGTTGTCAAAATCATGACTTTTTCTTTAACTTTCCTTGCTTATAATCAGGAGGTAAGTACTTCTGATGAACAACATTGTGAAGATACAAGACAGACCAGTGTTGGTTGGGATTGTTCCTTGCATCTTCCTCTTTGGGTTTCTGAAACAGAGAAAGCTTCGATTGAGGATCGCTTAGACGAATGGACCCGACAGTTGGAAGCCAGTGGAGCTGACGTTGCCTCTCTTGCTTCTTTATTGAAAAAGCCACTACGCCCTCTATGGATATCACAAAAGACTGTCATTTGGTTGAACGAAGTTCCGGACCATGATTCATGGGATTTCACACCAATCATTCTTGTTTCTGCCTCTGCCTCTAATGGTGTTGTACAACAACACAGGACTAGTTCAGAATTTAGCTGGAATTACATAGCGGGAGCAGGTGATGATGAAGAAAGCTGGGCTAGGGGTTTAACACCTACCCTCTTCTGGAACCATGCCTATGAAATTATAAATGCAGGACCTGTTTTGTGTAATCAGATGGTAGCTGATATAGTCGAAAAGGATCGAGTGTATCGTGCTCGAAGGGGACAAATTGCCCCTCAGGTCACTGTCAAGGCCTCCAAGTTGGTAGAAAACTCAGTTCATTGTTTGCAGGATGACTCAGTGTTGCCTTTAGATATTTCAACTATAAATATTGATCTAAATTCTTCTGATGAAGATTGTACTTTATGTTGGCTGGGTTCAACAAGTCTTGCTGTAGGCAAATCTCAAACTGGTATGCTCAATTAAGAGCTCTTATTTTCTGTTAGCATCCGTAATCCAACAACATCACTTCATACAAGCGAACTCTTATAAGCATATGAATTTTATGGGCATCTTATACAGACATCTTGTTAGAGTAAGGTTCTCTTGCTCTGGCAACATAAGATGCTTACTTTGTCAAACTTTTAATCTGGACTATTGATCTGCATAATTCTTATCTGATTATGTGGTTCAGATCTATAGTCTGGCAAGAGAGCAATTCTCTGCTTTTGGCATACGTTCTTATGTAATCTGATTCTCCCTTTTGTTTCTCATTGATATCTGGCTTTTTGTCAGTAGCATTAGCTAATCATCAATTCATTCACTTTTCTTTTTGTTATTTTTATTTGGCTGACCTTGGTTTACCGTATTTGGTGCAGCTGCAGCATCTAAAGTTGATTGTATATTAAATTGTGATCAAGAGTCCATGTCTGCCTCTCTTTGGAACGATAAAGTATATCTACATCTTCCTATGGTGGTGAGTTTAAAAGAATGACAGGACAACATTCATACTTTTGTGTTCATTGTGTATGTATTCCCCTACGGCCCGTTTGATAACCATTTCATCTTTAGTTTTTAGTTTTCATTTTTTGTGCTAGAGTATAGAGGAAAATGAGAGTGAGAATGGGAGTGAGGATGAGATTGAGAGAGAGAGAGGATGAGAGGGAAGGATGGAAGGGAGGAGTAACAAAAGTGAAAACAAAAACTTGAAGGTGAAAACAAATAGATTTCAGTTTTTAGTGTTTGTTTTCACTTTTGTTACTCCTCCCTCCCATCCTCCCAATCTCATCTTCCCTCCCAATCTCATTTTCTCTCTCATTCTCACTTCCATTCTCCCTCTTTTTCCTCTATATTCTAGCACACAAAAATGAAACTAAAAACTAAAATTGAAATGGTTATCAAACGGGGCCCCTAACTTTTAATTTTTTTTTGCAGACATCAAAGTTTGATCGCTTTTCCTTATTGAATAATCTCCCATCTGCGGTGAACTTTGCAAAGTTAAATCTAAGCAAAGCGAAGACCCTTTTAATTTGTTGCAATAATGGTAAGGACTTCACAGCTCTAGCCTGCCTAGTGAAATTCCATGTTGAGAGTACTTAGATGTGCCAAATGAAGGATAACGCCCTTGGAATACAATCATGACTTCCATTTGCATTACATGGCTTCCATGTTGTGCTACTTCAATTCTTCAATTTTTTATTCTTTGGATTGCTATTTGTGTCTGCTAATATCTTCCCATATCCTCTGTTTTCAGGGGAAGATATCAGTGTATGTGTCTGTCTGGCAATCTTGACATCTTTATTTGATGATGGAGGTATGCTTTCTTCATCTGGCAAGAAATTTCTTCCAATTAGATTTGAATTTGATGAGTTTTATTATTGGTTCAATCTGTTTGTGGCGTGGGAACCATTTGTGGGCTAAATCTTATGTACTCTTTGGTTATTCAATATTGATTAATGTTTATCCCGCTTGCTAGCTTCCAATCTTATTCAAGGAAAGGCCGTAATATTTTCTGTTCTGGAATGGTTTTCTGAACTTCCTACAATTTCATCAGGAACCTTCGAGGGTGGAAGTTTCTTTAGTGAGACATGCATTACTAAATTGGAAATGCGGAGGAGACTCGTAACCATCTGTAAATATGTAGTAAATGCAAGGCCATCAAGAGGGAATCTGAAGCAGGTTTTCAGTTTTCTTAGTGGTGGAAGAGCTGGTTCGGAGAAGAGGCTTCACTTGCAAGATCAGTTGCTCGAATAAATTATGAAAGCTCGATGCTGAAATTTTGCAAGTTGAATCGGCACGGGGTTGTATAAATGAGTGAGCATTGTAACAAAGAAAGGGAACTTAGAGAAATTAGAGAATTGAGGCTCCAAGTAGGAAGAGTCACATTCATTCATATCCCATTCTTTGCACTCTTGTGCATTCTTCATAAGCTGACTAAGTTGATGGCAGAACATGTTTGTTGCAAGTCGTTAATTAAAGTTAAACTAAGATTTCATTGAGAGGCTTTGAGGTTATGGCTGTTTATGAACAAAATGTGCTGTGTGAGCAGTTGGATGAAGAGTCAATGATCAATAAGAAATATGCCATCTGTACTTGCTTGATATAAGTGATTATCATTTCGATTGTTGAATGCAAAAAGGGTGAAAAATCAGAAATCTGGGTTTAGAGGTAAAAGGCATAGAAACAATTAATATTATTATGGTCAAGAATTTGGAGCTGATACCAATGGCCCAATGTAAAAGGCTTTGATTAGTGTAAGAATTTTACAGTGAATGCCTTATATATAGTCCTTAAGTGAGACCTAATCTTTTAATCGTTTGATCAAATTGGTTAGTTGTTAGCTCAAATTAGTTAACTTAGTCCAACGGTTAGAAAATAAAACCTCACATATAGGCCATATATAAGGTCCTCATTATAAAATGACTCTTGGTTAGTGTGTATTCATTGGGTGATTAAAAGTTTCGAATCTCTGCCTACATGAATGGATGTGAAGAACTCAACCAATTGAGTTATACTCCA